AAGAGGATTAAAGCCACACACACACACACACACACACACACACACACACACACACACACACACACACACACACACACACACACAGCACTGTTACCATTTTCGGATGATGGATTAATCCAAAACATGCGACCGCTGCCTAGCCGGCCTGTAGTGATGATTGCGATGATGTAACCACCGAGGCTACAGGGAAAGGACGAGCTCGACAATGTTCTATCTTTTTCAGTTTGGCATGCAGACCAACAAAGAGCCCAGTAACATCAGTGCTTGCAAGTATAGAACTCTCTTTGTGCACTTAACCAGTTGTCAGAGAGGAACAAAATGAACCCTATCACCCCAAACGCTGGCAGATGGGCTGCAACGCTTAAGCTCACACTCCCCAAGCAAGGAACTTCCGAGACATGTCATGAGGTTTCTGCAAATGAGGATGTCTTCAAAAACAGCCCTCATAAAGTTAGGCAGAGCGAGGGTTTTCATTGGAAATGGCGAGTTACAACAAGTGCAAGTGTTTTTCTACACAGGAGCAGCGCCACAGAGGTGGCTTTGTGTCAGGAATAGAAGAATCTCATCAGGGCATTTCTAAACTGTCTGAGATTATTTACAGTGTGATGAATTCAGTAAACATTTACATGGAAACAGTTTTAAACCACAGGGTCTGGCTCTACCTGACAAGGGGGAGTTACAGCTGCGTGTTTGAGCTCTTCATAGTCTTGGGGTGAATCACTCCAGTGGGCTGCCATCATTTCATTTCAGACCACAGAGGGGGCAGATGTCCTTTAGTGCCCACATTGAGAAGAAGTGGATGAAGATCCAAAATTACAAAAAAGAATGGAAAGAGAGAAAAGATCCTAATCCACACCATTGGCTTTCTTCATGTCCACCAGCAGCTTAAATCTGCAGGGGAAAAAAAACAACTAAATTAGTAAAAGTAGCTTGAGGACTCTGCTTTGGTAAACTATTTCTACTTAATTATGTTTTGGAGAACTTGATCACAAACTTTACAACAAAGGTCAACTATACATAACTTCTTATTACAATAATACCAAATTATAACCTGTAATTATCTGCAATGCAACTCTGAAAATGTCTTTCAGTGCAATAGTGGAATTATAAAGGTAAACGACCAAAATATAAAGTATTTATTTGGCTTGTTGTGAATATGAGTAATGAAACACGTTCGTAATTACAGTAGTGGGGAAATAAAACGAGTTATAGCAGGTGCATTGTGATTTGATTTATTATTACTACTATTTATTGCGATTTTGTGCGACTAAGATGTTTCATTATTTTAAAACAAACCACACGAGACCCTTAAACTTGGGTATTAGCATAAAACATTTGCAAACATTGTGAGTTTTTAGTAAGAAAACACAAATATGACGTTTCCGTTAGGAAACGATGTGCTACGGCCATCACGAATGAAGCGAGACCGTTAGGAGGGAACATGCCGTCTTCTACATGGCACACAAGCGGCGAAAACACGGATTTTCATTTGTTTTAACAGCTGCTTTAAGACACAAAATCCCCGTGTGGCTGTTACTATCCGAGCTGTTGTTGACCAAGCTGACCAGGCAGGCAGACGACAGGTTGTTGCTATAATTAAGAACAAAACCTACCAGCTACAAATCCCCAAAAATGGCCCCGAAACACCGATAAAACACGCTGTTCATGTTCCTGTGAGAAGTAACGTGCTTTCCAGATGCCTCCGTCGATCCAAAGAAGGGTTCAAAAGGCTGTCAAGAGATTACAAAGCGGGTTATTCATTCTTCTTTAGGGGCACCCTGACTGACCGCTGACGTCCACTACCTGTTAGCGAAAACACACCGAAAAAAACACGGTAAACGCCCGTCACGATGCATTTCTCTGTCAGGGAGACGCGACGAAAATTTACCCCTCGGTGTTCATTCATGTCCACGCGTCTGCGAGGTTCATATCGACGGTAAAATCTCAAAATAGAGACAAAAAGTAACGTGTACTCCTACGAGGTCCCGTTTGGCAGCGCGCGACAATCTGAATACACACACACTGACGACTGGACTGGAGGCTCCGCCCATCCACCTACCTCCTCGAAGGCTTCCATCCAATCAGGGAGAGGTTTTAAAATTGGAATTTACAGGCGGGCCTATTGGAGGCGTTGTTACATAACAGCTCAATAAAGAGTGGAAGCTGGTTTCTGGTTCCTTCTGGTCGCCAACTGAAAAGAAAAAATACTGAAAAGATGTAATAATTTATACAATATTCGATTAATTTATGTAAAGTACTTTACATTTAATATGTTTGAAAATATATATTTAAAAATGCATTTCCTTATTTTGCCGACCCTATTGCTTTACATCTAACTGATTATTTTGCATTAAAATAAGTATTCTGACTTTCATGAATGCTGCAAAACTAAGTCTGAAAATGGGTTTGATATTTTTAAGGCAAAAATGCATAACCATATGTACTGATGTTGTTTTAAAACTTTTTATGCAAACATTATTTTATATTATACATCAACATTTGCAGGAAAATCCAGGATTTTTTAAAAGTCCTATGTTTTGCCTAATCCAATTTTTGGGGCTCTTGACCATCAATCAATCAATCAATCAATCAATCAATCAATCGACCAACCAACCAACCAACCAACCAACCAATCAATCAATTTTATTTGAAGAGCACCTTCCGCAACGTTATCAGAAGCCCAAGGTGCTGAACAGCATCATAAAAACATTCCCAGTACCTGGGCATAAGAGCAAGATAAAAACACAAAATCATAAAATAACAAGCAAGTAATATTACAAATGCAGAGAGGTAACTCAATGAGACCGGGGCGGATTTAGGACTGAAGAAGATCCGGGGCTTAACACACGAGCGCGCGCACACACACGTGACACGTACTAGTCAACATCATATATATATTTGTCTTGTACCACATAATTTTTAATCTGAAGCTACATATTAAGCATATTCATGTCAGAGTATTGTTCCTGTTAGTGTGTAGTGTGAGATGATAGTAAATATTCCCTTTCTTTCTCCAACAACTTTACCTGATAGTCAGCTAACTTTAGGCAAGCCAGCAGCACAACAAATATTTTCAAATAAGACTCACAAACCTGAGTCAACACCAGTCTCATCAAAGCTGGTGTTCTGTCGCTGTAATTTTGGTCTAAAAAACGCCCTTATGTCCATCTTTACATTTGCATTTCAGGCAGAGACTGTAGAAGAAGCCGGCTGCTGAAGGGCTTCTTCAGTGGTGGAGGCTCAGGCAGGCTGTATACAAACTACTGCCAGCTGCTCCCTCTCTGTTGGACTTTGGTACTGCATGTTACTTCCACGTTTTAGATCTGGGGCTTTTCGTAAAACATTCGGGGCTTGAGCCCAAGTAGCCGGGCCTAACGCCGCCCCTGAATGAGACTAATCAATTAAAAACAAATGGTGGACAAAATAAGATCAAGCATCTTGATCAAAAAGAAGAAGTATTAAAAACCACAATGTCAGGGCAATTCAATGAACCCTATCGCTGAAAAGCAATCAAATAGAAATGAGTCTTTAAACGAGACTTAAAGACTTGAAGGGATGGCGCCTGCCTAATGGTCAATGGCAATTCATTCCACAAAGATGGAGCCAAAAAAGAAAATGCACAATAACCCCTCGATCGATATTTCGCCCGGGAGACCACCAGAAGTTCCTGCTCGGCTGAGCGAAGAGACCGAGATGGAACATACTTGTGTAAAAGTGCAGTAATGTAAGAGGGCACCGCCCTGGAGGGCCTTATAAACAAGAGTTAGGATCTTAAATTTAGCTCGATATTTCACCGGGAGCCAGTGCAGAGCATCCAGCACTGGAGTAATGTGATCTCGGCATCTAGTACCTGTCAGGAACCTAGCCACTGAGTTCTGTACAAATTGGAGCCGTGCAACCGTGCACTGGCCCAGACCGGCATACAGAGCATTTCAGTAGTTTAGACGGGACAGGACGAAAGCATGCAACACAGACTCCAGATGAGCTCTGGACAGCAGAGAACTGATCCTGGATAGTCGTTTCAGATTAAAAAAACAGGACCTCACCACCGTATTTACATGACCATGTTATGTTGTTATTTCCTCATGAAAAAAAATACTCAAAGCTGATTTTTGCTTCACTCGTGCATTTTCCTGCCTCAGCTATAAATTGTCTATCTGTCCAGCGACTGCAAAAACCTAGACGGAGTTGTTGCTGCGTTATCTCTTCCTCATCCACGGAGTCTTAAGGTCGTATCCCTCCTCTCCTGGACTGTAAACACTAACACTCAGTCTTTCTGTGTAGCTAGTAGGAAGTTGAATCTGCAGTCTCCCAGTTTGCAGCTGTGTACTATGCTGGAAGTCACACGAATGGAGGCGGGGTTTCATCAAAACCAAGTGTTCTATATCCGGGTAAAAGTAATGGTTCACCAAAATATCTTGCATTTAATAAAAAGATGACATCTTAACAGTGACAACAGTAATATTTCATTATACGCTGTGCCTACTGTTGCTCTGGAAGGTGTAAAATAGCATGACACAGGCTCTTTAAAAGTGGAACTATTCCCTGCTGCATTTCCGGGGGCATCCAGAGATCAAATCTGGAAGGAATCTCTTTATATTTTTGGCCAAAATGACCATGTGTCAAAACACTGATAGCAATGTAAACATTTTAAAGTGATGAAAAGCTGTGAACTTTAAAAAGTCAGAATTACTAAAAAGATAATAGCAATCCACTTTGGTCTTTGCTGCATTTAGTAATAGTCAATATAGTGACTATTTACAAAAATGTATGCAGAAACTGACTTGAAATTGAAATATCCTTGGAATAGAAAATTTATTGCCACCTATTATCAGTTACAGCTTCAGAAAAAGCATATAGTCTAATAATAATAGTAATAATGCATTTTATTTGAAGCTCTTCTCTAAAAAAATCACTTCAAAGTGCGGGGAAATAAAACAAAAACAAACACAACAGAGAAAAATTATTACAGTGAATGACTAGTAAATATAAAACCGGGATAAAATGTAAATTACTGTTACAGGGAGTTGGCAATCAGATGAGTCTGGAGTATAGCCTGCTGTGAATCCTGCACACACATGTGCAGCCCTTCAGTGCCCAACATTCAACCGGTGAAACATATTTGCCTTTCCATTATCAACTGTAACAGCACTGTCCTTAACTTTATTATGGTGATTTGTAGGGCATGGCAGCCACATGGGACTCAGTAGAGCGTAAAAAACATGGCTGCACAGCTGATCCATGCAAAAACAAAGACTGACAGTGTTCTGTTAGGAGCTCCACAATAGAAGGTAGGACAATAGGACGAGGCTCCCCTGGTTTAAGAGAAGCGCTATTGTCTAAAGATCTGGTGCATCCTCTCAAAAACAATGGAGAACTCAAACTGATGGAAGAGGGTCTCTGCAATACTGGATGTTAAACAACATTTTATTTGATTTAATATTGGTTTATTAAATCAATCAAGTATTGGCCTCGCTGACAAAACTCGAGAAAAAAAATGTTGTTTTCCAGCAAGCTGCATCTTTATAGATTACATGTGTGTATAAAAATTCTCCCCAAAACCATCAGAACAGTTTACTGCTTTCTGCTCATGTGGTATTTTGGCTCCTAAAACACTTCAGTTTAGTTTTCCTGAACGGTGCGGAAGCTTCCCAACCTTTCTGATTCCTTTACACTGAACATGCAGCTGCTGGGTGACTTTCAGCGCAGGAAAGATTATAAGCTCTTTTGAAGCAGCAGAATGTTTAGCTGGATTAGTACACCACACGAAGCTCAGATTAAGGACAGGTGGAAATGACTCTGCAGCCCTCGATACTGATTCCTTCAGTCACAAACACCCATCAAGATACCTCTTCATTCATCAAGCATCCATCCTAACTCACTGATTATATATATTTTTTAACCAGGAGTTGAGACTTAAGAGAATGACGAAGGCTGCAGGTATAAGATCTGGCACAGAGTCAGATGACTGGATGAAACCCAGCAGCAGCCTCCAATCCATCAGGCCTCCTGGGTAGATCGTCACAAACTAAAGACACCGACCCCTGCAGAAGATGTTCTTTCTATTTGTGAACCACGGCATGCCACTGTCGCTGTATGCACTTTCACTTCAAACAGAATAACGAAGATTATTCTTGCAGTTTTTTAACCTGCAAACTGACTCTGAAATAAAGTGTTGGTCATAAATGCTCTACAAGCACATTTGAAACAAAATCCTCTGAAACAGGAAAAACTGGGCAAACACTTCACTCTTGACTTGAACAAAGACAAAGATTGTCATCTGTCTCAGCACACAATGTGTTTAATTTGATTTAACATAAAAATATATATATATAAGTCATCAATGTTTCATCAGTGAGGTAGGTCCTTCCAGAGGTCAACCGATATTGGTTTTTCTATTGCCAATACCGATGCCGATGGAGACACATGGCCCATATGTACTGCCGTTTTTCATGGGCCAATTTCCATGGTCAGTATCTGAATGTTTTCCACCTTATTTTCATGATAAAATGTCAGTTGATGCACAAAATTGCTGAAGCTTAATCAGCTTTTGAACTGTCAAATTAAAAACTGTTGCTCACTGCTCAGTGTTAGAGTTAGACACCTTAATAATGTAAATTTAGAGTATTTATTATGTGGATGTTTTTGGTGAATGAAAAAATATATTTGAATTAAATTCTGCAACAGCACCGGGCTGCCCGAGGACGTGCCTGACTTCAAATCAGCTTTACAAGGACAAATATCAGCTGATGCATAAAAAACGGTAAACATTGGCCCGATGTATTGGCCGACTAATAGCTATAAATCCTGCTCACACACTATTCACCATACTTTCTTCAGGCAGAAGACTTGACTGCCTCAAATCCAGAATAACAAAATCAAAATACTACTTAATTATGAGATTGTGGGGCTCATGAATGCTGATCCAATATTAATTTAGGTGTTTAACCATGATTTTAATTTAGGCTTTCCTGAGTTTCTGTGACAGGCTGTTGAATGACAATAAGGATAAAAATGAATGTGAATTTAACTTTGCAAAAGGCTTGTTACATCTATTCTAGCCAGGAGTACACTTTCCAAACTTTTCCCTGAACAGCAGATGAACCAATTGTTACCAGGGCTACAGATTGAATGTGGTGTTGTTCTGGTGAGGTGAAACCAAATCCCAGCTCTCCGTCGGTAACCACAGGCTTCAGATGTCAAATGCAGAGATGTGTGGCTATTCAACTTCACAATCCTGGTTTTGTTTCTTTTGTGTTGGCCACAGTTTACCTGTAGCCCGCTTCCCTCGGTCAGCCCCAACCTCTTTTTCCCTGGCGAAGCTCCACAAAGCAGCAGCATGAGAAACCTGCCAGGCTTTTTGTCCTCTCTCGCTTTCACCACGTCCTGCATCAAGGTGAAGGACAATGGTCCGAGAGTTCCCAAGGCAAAGTGTGGGGGGCATTAGTGTTGGGAGATGTTAACAGCCACCACCAAGTGCTGATGTTTTACGATAGGGATACATGGAGTTGCAGCCATGAGTACAAAGAGGGTAGCTGTCTGCATGGACAGCAATAAATAAATAAATAAATAAAACTGCTGGATCAACTGTTGAGTGTTCATTTCTTATCTCACTCCTCTTCTCCTTTAAGTGGCCAAAACAAAAGTCCCTAAACTCTCAGAAGTCTTTGGTTTCCGTTCATTTACAACCTCCAAATAGGAGCACGTGCATCAGCTCCTTTAAAGCAGAGGTTGTCAGTCTGAAACTGTTATGTTTGGGCTTGTTTTTAATAGTTTTTTTGATGTGCTTAAATATTTTTAAATGAGACATATTATGCAAAACTCACCTTTTGTGCTGCCGTGTGGGTCTCTACTGCCTCTATAAACACATGTTTTGTCTTAGGAAATATTAGCTTAAAACATACGATTTCAAAGTCTTTCATTTTAATGTATTTTTACAATCACTAATAAATTAATGCATAATAAATACTCTAAATTAACTTTATTTTGTCATGGTGGGTGGCAATTTCTTGACCCACGACATGCAGAATCACAACACGGAGAGCAGGGATGTAAGTAAAAAGGCTTTTATTACTAAATAAGGAGAAAGTAAGAGACAGGAACCAACGAGATGCAGGACTGGCAGCAGGAATCCAGGATGAGATTCTAAGGAGGGAGAAAGAGTGAATATAAGGCGGAAAACAAATGGGAACTTATCTGGAGACTGGTCTTAATGTTACTTGGTAGTGGTAATTGTACAGGAAGGATTGTCTGGTCCGGGTGAGCTGAGGAGATCCAAAGGTAAGGTATTGGTTGTCCAGAGGTGGAGGAGCAGGAATGGATGTTGGTAGGTGAGCGGCTGAGAGCGGGCGGCCAGGGGATGAAGCAGTGCGTCAGGTAGACTGAGATCCGGGTTTGTTCTGGAGCTGGTGAGGGATTGAGAGGAACCTGGAGGAGAGCAGGAGAGGGCATTAAGGGGTTTTCAAGCGACAGGTTAACAAGAGCACAAATACAAGTATCAAGATCAGGTTGAGGCTAGAGCTACCCAAACAGAGTAATCATCCGGCGTGGTGAAGTGTCGCACTGCTCCTTAAATCCCCTGGGCCTTGATGAGGAGATCAGCTGCAGCTGGAGCTCTCAGACATGCCCACCTGTGGAAACAATGCTCAGAGGAAAAAGCCAGGTTACAGGCAGTCAGCTCACCACGGACCATGACATATTTAGGTGTCTAACTCTAAAGCCTGGGGCACACTATAGGCAGACGTGCCGCGTTGCACCATCATTTTAGATAGAAGCCATTATAGTTATTGACAGTGAGCACACGGGGAGCGCCGCGCCGCGCCGCGCCAAGGTGCTGAAGATAGGCACCAGTTCCATCTCAAGCACCGCGGCTGTTTACTAGCCTGGCCTGCCAGACGAGTCCTCTGTTTAATTCCGCAGAGAAAGAGTCTGGTTACTCACAGGCAGAGTGGCACATGAGGGGCGGGACTGGCCAGCTCACAAATAACCAATCAGAAAAAAGACGGAAAAGCTGACTGTACCGCGTGACGCTGTAGTTTTTTAGCTGTAGTCAAAAATGGCGTCTGGCGACAGCGCAGACATCTTTCTTTGGAAGAAAGGCTTTTGGGGCTTCTACTTGTTGTTTTAAAGACGTGTCCAAGTCATTTAGAACAGGGGAAAGAGCCGCAGCGAACTCCGCTTCAGTCGCCATGTTTATGACAAACTCAGCGTTGTGGTGTGTGACGTACGATACTCAGTGCTGACTGGCTCGGTTAGAATTCTCAGGGGGTGGGGTTATTTGAACAGGAGATTTCCCAGACCCTTTCTCTGTGCAGAACTAAAGAGGAGGAGTCTGGCGGGCCAGGCTAGCTGTTTACAACATTGTGAAGTGCTTTACAACAGACATTACGACGCAGAACGCTTTACGGCACAAACCCAACCGCCGGCACAAACCCAGCCTCAGTTTTGATCACTAGTACCATTGATCTTAAAATATTTGAATAAATAGCGTACTTACCCACTGTTAATGAATTACAGTCTCACAAAACATGACTTCAAGCTTGATCACGTGTAGAGTTACTTCCCGCTTCCTGTTCTCAAGTCCCACGTGATGTTGTGACTACTTTCCAAGAAGTGCTCAGCAGCGCGGCGCATCCTGTGTGACCATTTGACTTCTCAAAATGGCAGGCGCACGTGATGCAGCACGGCGCGTCTGCCTCCGGTGTGCCCCAGGCTTAACACTGAGAAGTGCAAAAAGCTAAGATTTAACAATAAGTTAAATTCAGAGTTCAGAAACTGATTTAGCTTTAGAACTCTTGCACATCAGCTGATGTTATTAGTGATATTTTTGCATGAAAATAAGGTGGAAAACATCCAAATATCGGCTACGGAAATCAGCAATAGAAAAACCAACATCGATCGACCTCTAGTGCACATCCAATGATTATTTTCTTAAAGTGACAGTGTGTATTTTTCCTGGTGATGGGGGCAGTAGATTCCTAAATCGTTGCAAGCGAGCAGCATTTTTGTGTTGGAATAAGGCCTTACCTACGGATGCCTATTAGGGTCAAAAAGCCCTGGGGAGTGCAAACTTCAGCAAAAATAACGAGCACATTAGACTCCCTTCCATCACTGGCATCAAGTGGAGATAAATATGTAAAACGTTTAAGAATGACAAAAGTTTCGTAACCATTTGTTACAAATCAGTAAACGCATTTTGTCCTCACGGCTTCCCGTAGAAGGAAACATGGCGTCTATAATGGCATCGCCCAGAGACTTAGACCCGCTCCTATGTGTTGTAGACCTGATTTTTAAGTTAAAGTTAAAGTCCCATTAGTTGTCACACACACTGATGTGTGTGCGAAATTTGTTCTCCGTATTTGACCCATCCCCTGGGGGAGCGGCGAACTGCAGACACAGCCGCGCTCGGGAACTATTTGGTGGTTTAACCCCCAATCCAACCCCTTAATGCTGAGTGTCAAGCAGGGAGGCATTGGGTCCCATTTTTTCAAAGTCGTTGGTATGACCCGACCAGGAATCGAACCCTGATCTCCCAGTCTCAGGGCGGACACTCTACCACTAGGTCACTGAGCTGGTTTTATGGTTATATGTTACGAAGCCACCAATATCTTTCAACAACTGGGCATCATTTCATTGACTTTTAACAACATTTTGATGGATGTTTCCAGAAATTAATGGGAAAAACTACACGTTGTCTCTTTAAATGTTCATTTAACCCTTTGATGCATAATGGTCACTACAGTGGACAGGTACTCAAAATTGTTATTTCTTTATTTTTGCTATTAAGCACAGCTGTTGAAGACTTTATTGCACGTGAGCCCCTCCATTTGGACTTCAGTAAGTCAAGCCACCATATTTCATGTTCAGAATGCACGCTGTCCACTGAGATGGACATGTAATAAATTATTTGTAAATTAACAAAATGGTACAAAAAATATTTGTTGAAATTTGTTTCATTCACACCTAAAGATGAATGAACAAAATTGTTTAAAAAATCATGGTTGAAGATTTCATAATTCATGCATCAGAGGGTTAAATCCAGTGATGCATTAGACTTTTGTAACACTGCAGAAAAACCAACAAACACACGTGCACAGGGACGTGCCTGTATTTGTAAACTGCTAAAAGTTCAAGTTAGAGCGTCTTCTGGTGTCAGATTGTGTACATTTATCAGGTTGTTCAGAGGCTGTAAAATGTCTTTGACATTTAAAGGTATGGCTTTGTGTCATAATCATAATGTTTTTGGTTCTGATTTGTAGAAAGGTATTTCCGAAACAGTGTGTGGTTGGTTGGTGCTGTGCCCACTGTGTGCTTTCCATGAGTCAGAGTGGGCGTCATCGGAGCACGCCAAGGTCCATAAGCTCTCTCCATCTGTCGCTAGCGTCCTCTCCTGATGGGCAGCTTCTCCTTCTCTTACTCCTTTGTCCTCAAGTGCGACTCAGCAAAGGAAGAATGAGGCAACGATTGGACACAACCTTTTTGAGATTTATTACAGGTAAAAAAAAATTACAGAAAGGTGGACCAGTATGAAAAAGTTATTAGTTTAGAATTGATGACTCTCATATCTTGTACTTCATCTTTCCAGTTTTGCTGATAACGCAGATGTGCTGAAAGCAGAAAAGTTTAAGAAAACATTATTAGCTGGTGCCAAATTTGAGGGAAATTTATAGCTCGTCTACACATAGTAAGTCTTGCCCAAAATGTTATATTATGCAACCCCTGTACTCAGATAGTAAAATATGAAAGCAGAGAATGCAAACAACAATATGAGACGTTCATTAATCTAGCTTTGGGAGTCCTGTGGATTCAAGCCATGTTTCTTATGGGATGAGGACAGATAAGAGAAGAAGCTTGAACTCTGTCTGATAATGAGACACTAACCTCCACATTCCACGTGCAGATTCTTCAATCCTTCACAATGACTGACCCCCCCCCCCCCCCTCCCCCCCCCTCCCCCCCCCCCGAACATGCACGGAAGACTCACTCAATAACACAAAGCATACAGTATGAGAAGCACATACTGTACATAGCACGTTAAGTTCTGGGAGTGAAGCATCATCTTTCAAACCAGCTGGAGGTCAGTTTGAGGCCAAATTCTCCAGATATGCAAAAAAAAAAAATAAGACTAAGTTCTCAGGTTTGTTCCCACCAACTTCAAACTGTCTTCAAATAATCTGTCCAGTGGATAAAAATCTAACGGCAATATACATATATATATACATATATGCTATATATATATATATATATATATATATATATATATATATATATATATATATATATATATATATATATATATATATGCTATATATATATATATATATATATATATATATGCTATATATATATATATATATATATATAGCATATATATATATATATATATATATATATGCTATATATATATATATATATATAGCATATATATATATATATATATAGCATATATGTATATATATATACATATATGCTATATATATATATATATGCTATATATATATATATATACATACATATATATGTATGTATATACATATATATATACATACATATATATGTATGTATATATATGTATATACATACATATATATATATACATATATACTGTATATATATATATATATATATATATATATATATATATATATATATATATATATATACATATATACTGTATATATATATATATACAGTATATATGTATATATATATATATATATATATACAGTATATATGTATATATATATATATACATATATACTGTATATATATATATATATATATATATATATATATATATATATATATATATATATATATATATATATATATATACATATATATATATATATACTATAAGCTATATACAAGCCTACAAGCCACCATTATTTTCCTGCTTTGAAGCCAAGTCTGCGGCCAATATCATGGTGCGGCTCGTGTGTAGATTTTTGTTGGCCAACAACCACTAGAGGCACTCCCCAGCAGTAAAGTGAGACAACCATGGCAAAACATTATAAGCGGAAGAAGGCGCTCTTTGCTTTAAAGCGGCATGTTTACACATCAGACACACCCTCGTCAAGGAAAACACGCGGAGGAATGTATATGCTGCAGCTTTCAAGTTAAAAGCGATCGATCCGGCCGTCAAACAAGGAAACAGAGCCAGCTTGGCATAAATGAATCAGTGGTGCGACGTTGGGAGGTGGCAGCGGGAAGATTTCAGTCAATGTAAAAAAACGACAAAAGCTTTCAGGGGAAATAAAAGCAGATGGCCAGAATTAGAAAACATTCTTGAAGACTGGGTGAACACACAAAGAGCCGACGGCCGAGGTGTTTCCACTGTTTCCACTGTGCAGATCATTACTAACCAGGCATGTTTTGTGTGCAGTTTTTATTGTCTAATCATCCAGGGCTTATTAATGCTGTGTCAGCGCTGTTCTTTTCTTCTAAACATGCAAATTACCAGTAATAACGTGTCAGTTCTGTTTTTATTTTTTAACCATCCAGAAATATGAATGCTATCAGTGCTGATTTCTTTTCTAAACTTGCAGGCACGTTCACCCGTGTTTAAAATTTGTTTTGTTGAATTAAAACAACAACGAAAAACCTCTGTGCAGCGTCTTTCTGTGTGATTATCTTATGTTATGGCCGTACATGTGCTGTGCGCCGGATACCTGCATGTGGCTGCTGCACCGCGGCTTGTATTTGTGTAGAAAACCTATTTTTTTGCTGGTGCGGCTTATATTGAGGTGCGCTCTATAGTCCGGAAATTACGGTAGCCTCTATATATAGCTTTTCTTGAGATAAAATTCACGAGGCGCTTCAAATATTTATATATATCTTGCTTTACTTTCTGTAAAGAGAATGAGATGTAAGGAAAAAGAAAAGGACAAAAATCAGGATTTATGTGCACTTGTGATTATTGTTATCTTTTTAAAGTGCATTTTTGTAAATGTGTGCAAATTATTGCTGATATTTCCAACAACAAAATAAATACTGTGGAACAAAAAATGTGGATGGCAGTATAAAAAGGATGAAAAGACCATTTGCAAAAATAAAAGCTTTATTTTTATCATGTTTTTCCAAAGTTTCATTCATTGCATGATCATTATCCATATAAGTTGAGTGTATCTGATTATTAGATATGTCATTTAAAGTAGAAATTGCTTTTTTTAGTTCATGAACTAAAATTTTGTGTACAAAAACACAGAAAATTTGGACGAAATTTATTCAGTTTTGGACTTTACATTTATTCAAAAGAGAAACCTCTCAAAGTTTTGATCTGCTATTTATTTTGTCTGAAATTTAACCCTGAAATTTATTTTTTATTCAGTCCATTTAGGACAAAATACTTGAAAGTTTGATACCACACCTCCATTTGAAGTGCATTGTTCTCTTTTAGACAGAACTCCTAAAATAAACACTGATCCCAGAAACCACACGCAAAGGATCTCAGCTGCTTTGCCTGCATGTAAAACCTCCTCAGGGAGGGAGGATACCTGTTGGGTGAGTTTAGGTTTCACAGAGAGGGTAGCATCGCTTTGATTTACTGTGTTTACTCTGCTGCTTTCATCCCTTTCTCTAAAGCTCTTCAAAAGGTCACGAGCTGTGCAGCAACGACAGCAAAACTCAGGACTTACATTCAGGTCACGGAAGTATTCATTGTAGTCCAAGGCATAGCCAACAACAAAGCGGTTGGGAATTTCAAACCCGACGTCTACCAAAGCAAACACAGATAAATGCAGTGATTCAGTAAAAGGTTGACTTTGTTTTGATCTTTATGACACAAAACGTGAATTTTAGAATTTTTTTATGACCTGTCCAGACTCAAAACCGCATTTGATAGTTTAGTGGAGTGGATAGGTGTTCTAGGGGGCGAGCTTGAACTGCTTTATGGCTGTTAGCTGTAATTCTAGCGGTTAGCATTTTCAGTTTGCCAATCGTCTATAAAAAGCATAAGAAGAAGAAAAATTACTTCTGTGGAAGAGTAATGTCTTTGGAGGTGAAGCTAATCGCTAAAACCAGAACAAACATCGGTGTGGCCTACGCTAGTTTGGGGACGCTAAAACTGATGGTGACCTGGCTTTGTTGCTACTGGACTTGTAAGAAATAATATTTCTTGTCCAACAATGAGGATCTTTTTACTTCATGGTTTAGTTTTGTATTAGTTGGCTCATGTTAGCTTGTTGTTAGCACTAGCTACAGCAGGCTGCAGTTGGGTTGTTCACGACAGTTGTAATTCCACTTTCAACCAGTAGGGTGGAGCAGCAGGAAACTGCTCGGTATTACTTTAACCACTGCTATTTGTGACACTTTTTAAAATACAAAAAAGACTGAAAATACAATAATTAAACAGTTTTGTTGCCTGTTGCTTGTAGAAGAACTTCAAGAAAACACTAATTGAGTATCTGAATTTGAAAAATTCACTTTAATTGAAAGATTTAGAACTTTAATTATGTGTGTAAATGATTTACCGCCATCTAAAGACAAAAAAGAAAATTTCATCCTATTTCCTCATAACACAGTATCATATTTTTGAATAATTATACTCATCCGATTGTTTTTTTCTCTTTGATCTGGTTATTCTTTATCCCCTTTAGAGCATCCATAAACTATGCAGCATGTTTAGAGTTGCAGATGCATGAAGCACTAAGGAGTGCAGCCATTAACCTTGACATCCACTCCCTGTTGGGTACAGCAGAAACACTTTTGCAAGAAGGAAGGGTTATCACATTGGGAGTGTAAATTGCTGCAGGGCTCCTTCTTACCCACCTTGTCAAATCATTTATTTTGAGATTAAAAAAATAAATAAATAAAGTTTTGTCACGTTAGGAAGAAAATCCTTGAAAGTAATTATGTTCTCTACAACCTTGTTAAAGCAGCAAACACCTAAGAATGCAGAATTTATTGAAAATTTGGCAAGTGTGTTTAAAAAGACTGTCATGTGTGAAAACAAAGAGCAAACAAATAAATACTTACAGTCTGTCAGGCTTCCAGCCATGTTAGAAACCCTCTTCACCAGCAAACTGAAACACAGATTACTTAATTAATTTCTTAAGATTCTGCAAAGCATAAAGTATCTAATTAATAGTCATATGTAGTGATAGTGCACATAAGTCTATTTGTCTTGTGGTTGTCTGGTTGTATTGTCTTATTGTAGTCTCACAATTGTGAACGGTATAAAAATCTAAAATGCTTAAAATGTAAAACGGTTTTCGTAGTTTTTAAAACACAAACAATGAATGTAGAAGGTTTAAACCACCAGTAAAAGTACACCTGCTGACTGTTTTATTATTTAGGGTTTGTACATCTCTATAGGGCAAAAATGTCTGTTTGAGAGGCATCGACAGGTTGGTTAGTCATGATCTAGGCATACAGACGTAACACGGGACCAAGACAACAGCCTTGTGGGACTCCGGCACGTACCACTGTTTTAGATGAGTATTAATGGCCAAGTTTAACAATCTGGATTCATTCAGTCAAAAAAAAAAAACTACAGAACCACTCAGCAAAAGCCTTACACAGGCTATGGTTAGTTAGCTTAATATCTACAACAGATGCTTTAAAATCACTACTGCCATCAATAAACTGCATCCCAATTGTTACAAGCAGCCAAACAAATCTCTTACTGGACTCTATTCAAAGCTTCTGCGCTGCTGTCACAAATCCAGTAGGAAATGAACTTTCACAATGAACCATGTGTGTACAGGAAGATGATTATCTTGTCTCTTGGATCTTTGGAATTGCTAGGAAACAGCCCACAGACACACGATAGTGACTGTGGACAAGTGATACATTTTACTTCTGCCCATCATGCGCCTGGCATTTCCCTTACAGTGGAAAAACTGGAACAGCTAGAAACGGGCTCACCCTGCAACCTTGACCATTTTGGGTCCAAAGGTCTCCACATGCTTCAAAAGGGCCATCATGGTCTTTCCTGTGTCGACTATGGCCTGAGGGAAGGGAAGAGCAAAGGAAGTAGGAGCCATGAGGAGGGAGGACATCTGAGAGCAGACTGATATAAAGATACAAAGACAGCAGACTTTCTGTTACATAGAAAAATTCTGACTTCTATATATGTAGTCTCAAATCTCAAGTCACGGGTGCATGAACAGAGGAGATTACTAGTTTGTACAGTGAGTGTAAACACTAGTTGCATCAAGTCAGAAGGAGATTTTCACTGATAACAGAAAGAAACAGGTGAAAGTTTTACGTTTGATTTGCATTTGAATGCTAGCATCTTCTGGGTGTAAATGTTCTTTGTGGTTTTACGTTTTTGATTAGAATCCTAAAACTTCAAACGAAAAACCAAATTCTGTCATTTGTGCAAAACAAAATCAACTTCTTAAGACTAAATAAAGGAATCTGAAGATGGTGATTTATCAAATGCAAACACAGACTCACCTCAACAACGAGCACACTCTTGGGTACATGTAAAAGAAAAAGGAAATATAAATGACTAACACTTTCAAGCATAGTGAAAATAAAGATGAGGCTCGTTTGTTGCATTTATTAGAGATGGTTTCCATAGAAACCATGTTGGCAGCATTCTCACCGCCTTAATAAAAACAGACAGCTCATTCTGCTCTTCTCACTAGTGAACATCTGTTTGAGCTAAAGTCACCAGAGTGTTCGGGCTGCTGCTCGCTCTGCCCCGCTGCCGGGACTCAAACGAACTCTTTTTGGGCTGTGAGGACTCTTTGTGAGAGTGTCTGGTTCAGGGGGAGACATGCGAGAGAATGCAAGCGACCGGCCAATGTTCTCGGTCCACACCTGAACACCGTTGCATAACAATGAGCTGATTGGGACAAGTAAACAAGGAAAACTCAAACAAAAACAGACAGCACAGCCAGCTAGTCAACAAATGTGCACCAGAATTAATTTTTATGAGAAAGGAGTCCTTATTTGTGGTTTGTAGTCACAGGTGTTTCTGTGACTCAGCTCCAAAGAAAAAGAAAAAGATCAATTATTAGGTAGAGCTTTTAAGGTTTTGGCAACTTTATAGGATCAGTTTTGCTAAGGTCTCCTGACTGCAGTGACCATGATGAGTTGAAGTCACAGTTACGAAAGTACTGATGCGCATCTTTTACCTTTTGGCAGCGGGGTCACAAAGATGCAAAAACCAGACTCAGACTCAGTCCAAAACTAGTTTTGCTTTAGTCTTGTGTTCAGGTACTTTTGGATGATTTTGTTTGAGGTTTTAAAAAGCAATCAAGTTGCAATAACCCGAATTAAACAGAGTTCAATCAAAATGTATATAAAAACAAAATAATCTAATAATCCTCAGAAGTTTTGGGATTTCTGTGACTTTTGAGGAATTATGTATGATTTATTAGAAATCCTTAAAGAAGGTAGTTCCCTGTTCTGTGATACAATGTAAACAATATGTCAACTGTTTTTGTTAAGCTCGCCCCCATCTCATAGAGCCCCATGCAGTTTGAATTGAGCGCCGCTAAATGTAGACACTCGCTTACATACAAGTCAGTCACAGAGTGTGCACGAGCGTTTGAGGACATACAGGCAACAAAACTTTAAAGGTGCAGTATGTAAGAATGTAGTGAGAATTTTACTGTGAGAAAATCCCAAGAGTCTAATGTTTCAGTCATTTTGGAAGGAAGGTTAAACTGAAACATATTTCATATCCAGCTGGCTGCAGGGATTGTCAGTTTGTCTCCTTTAAACAAAGGAAGGAGGGACGTAACTTTTTACCATCAGTGTGTGTGGGGGGTGCCGTGTCTCCTGAGAGCTAATACTGCAGCGCCCAAAAACGTAATTTGACATTGGCCGGCCAAAAGCTCCAGAGTTGTTTAAAGTGGCTGCAGTAACCAAATTTTACTACAGGACGTCACTTTTATGTCATTACATTATTTCTACATAATGCACCTTTAATGCTGTGGAAACACAGCCATGAAAATGTAAATGAATCCTTTCACATTAATTTATTTTTCTTTCAGCATTTTATTAATTTTAAGCCTGACATTGTTCTCTACCACACCTTTTGCCTGGTACTTATCAGCTCAACTCAACTTTATTTCTATAGCGCATTTACACAATTCTCATTGACCAAAGCACTGATCAACACACCTCTAATCCATCTCCTGACCACATTATAAATATATATCGTGTAACTTTACTCTTTTTTTGACAAGTAATCATTTAAATTTATATTTATGGTATTTAAAGAAGAAAGAGATTATTTTACTAGAATATTTAAAGTTTGAAAACTTTAAGTTAAAGAAAGTGGAGTGAAATTTAACACAGCTAGTTAGTGTGATGCTAAACTCCCCACTCACCTTGCAGAATCTGACCCCCTTTAACTGAGAGGTAAAACTTTACTCAAATGTTGCATCGGAGAGGAGGCCCGACTCTGCGGAGCGGCCGGAACTCGGAACAACAGCTTCATTCCGCTCAGGGAAACCAAAGAATCTGCTCACTCCACAAATAGCAGATTAACAGGTTAAAGTGCTGTTTTAAACAGCATCCTATGGTCTCTTCACGGTGTCACACACATTTCTCCTTTCAGGTTTGAAGATTGTTTGTTTCTTGATCAAATAAACAACTTTTGTCAAAACGAATAATTCAAACCTGTCTATTTTTAGCTTTTAAAATCATCTTACCTACCGCAAAAACAGTTAATTTGACAACATTTGGACTCGTTGTGAGTCTAGTTGGGCTCACATTTAGCTGAGTTTGTGACATTTATGAGTAAGCGATGCCTTGACTGGAGGGGTGATTCCTCATGATGCGTCCTGACAGCTCTTAGAGATCAAACAGTCAGTAAATCCATCTTACGGGGATGTTTGCTTGCCTGACATGTCTGATTCATGACTAGTCTGGTGAGGGACAAAGGGTATGTCCTTATTGTGTCCAGTTTCTAATTCCATTGTTGGTTCTTTTTAAAACACAGATAAGGTTTTTTATTTACCTTGCTGACGGTTTCGTTTGCGGCTGCAAACATCCTCAGAGCTGACGCTGATGGAGGCGTCACTTCCTACTCCGTTTATCCGCGGGCAGCAGAGGACGTGGTCGCCCTCTGCTGCCCGCTCTCTCCTCTCTGGTGATGCAGTCCCATGCACGATCCAACGAGTAAACTCCATCGTCTCTGTTCATGGTCCCACATCCACGTCTCCATATCTCTATAGCTTCCTTTAGCCATCTTTAGCAACAGTAGCTCAGGTGGTAGAGCAGGTTGCCTCATGATTGGAGGGTCATGGGTTCGATTCCAGCTCCCGCCAGGGGTATCCTGCTGTTGTGTCCTTGGGCAAGACACTTCACCCAACTTGCCTGTGTTAGTGGTGGTCAGAGGAGCCGACGGCGCCAAATGGCAGCCTGGCCTCTGTCAGACCTCCCCAGGGCGGCTGTGGCTACAAGTAGCTTACCATCACTAGTAGTGTGTGAATGTGAGAGTGTGTGAAAGCGTCTTTGGGTGTCTAGAAAAGCACTATATAAGTTAAATGCATTATTATTATTATTATTATTATTATTATCTTTTGTATTTCTGTTGTTCGGTGTTTATGATCCGTGTGTTGTCCAGGTCCATTATGTGGTTTTCTCTTGTGCAGGGATCTGTTACGGCTGACTTCTTTATTGTACTTTCTGCTACTTCTTTTGCTGCTCTTGTGTGTTTTCGACTTGTTTCTTTCTCGCACTCCTTTCTATGTTCTATTGTTCGTGTGTTGAGTTGGCGTCCGGTTTCTCCTATGTATGTTTTATTGCAGCGTTTGCATGGGATTTCCTAAACGACTCCACATTTAAGTCCAGCTGGTATCTTGTCTTTTGGGTGCACTAGTCTGTTTCTAACTGTTGTGTATGATTTTGTTGGTGTGTTTATGTTGTGTTTTTTCATTGTTGCTCTTATTTTTTCTGTTATGCCTTTGATGTATGGTAGGGTTACCACTGGTTGTGGTTCTTGTCTTTCTGGGTTTCTGGTTCTTTGCTTTGGTTGTTATTTTCTTTCTGTTGTTGTTTGTTGTTTTCCTTCATTTATCGCCCATGTCGGGCATCCGCAGGTGTACGTGTTTGTCCTCTTGTTTACAATGGGGTCTACACACTGGATCGTGCACGGGACTGCATCATCGGAGAGGGGAGAGCGGGCAGCAGAGGGCGACAACGTCCTCTGCTGCCCGCGGATAAACGGAGTAGGAAGTGACGTCACCATCAGCGTCAGCTCTGAGGATGTTTGCAGCCGCAAACGAAACCGTCAGCAAGGTAAAGAGAAACCTTTCCTGTGTTTCAAAAAGAACCAAAAATGGAATGAGGGACAAAAGATTTTATTAAAAAGTGATGCACAAAACTAATACTTCTACTTGTATATTAGAGTTTGTTCTTGTTCAAGAGTAACGTCATGAACATAAAAATTGTACATATATAAGTTTGAAACCTTCACACAGATTGACAGCTCCCTCTTCAGGCGGCGGTAGCGCTGATCATAGAGGCTTCATTCTAAACCTGATGAAATATTTGCAATCACACACCTTTCCACGCAGAAAAGACAGATCGCTGCTTCCAATGATGTGCAGGTCTTCTGTGGACTGATCATTCTGGGGAAGAAACCAGAAATAACTAAACATAAAACACGTCTTATCAGTTAGCCGCAGCCACAAAGATGTTACAAACGTCTTTAACTGGCATCAGAGGTTAACACGTTTCACATTCATTTTGAAGGGAAATTTTCTGACGAATAAGAAAAATACTCATTTTAGGATTTTTTTGTCCCTTGAGGATACTCAATCCAAAGCTGTAGAGACGCTTAAGTTGAAATTACCTCACTCCAAATGCATCATTTAGGCATGACTAACAGAACCATCGCTCAGAGCTCCTGTCCCAGAGGCTCAAGTCTATGATGAATCGAAAACCTGGTGAACACCAGTGTTTCTGTCCACAGAGAAGCCAGTTTTACATCACCATGGTCTAAGAGGGACTGGCAGACCGGGGTGGTAGTTCCCTTATTTAAAAAGGGGGACCGCAGGGTGTGTTCCAACTACAGGGGGATCACACTCCTGAGCCTTCCTGGTAAGATCAATTCAGGGGTTCTGGAGAGGAGGGTCTGTCGGATTGTTGGACCTCAGATTCAGGAGGAGCAATGTGGTTTTCATCCTGGCCGTGGAACACTGGGCCAGCTCTTTACCCTTAGGGGGATCCTGGAGGGTGCGTGGGAATTTTCCTAACCAGTCTACATGTGTTTCGTGGATTTGGAGAAGACGTTTGACCGCGTCCCTCGGGGAGGTACTCCGGGAGTATGGGGTACCAGGCCCTCTGATTCGGGCTGTTACGTCCCTATATGATCATGTCAGAGCTTGGTCCGCATTGCCGGCAGTAAGTCGGGCTCGTTCCCAGTGAGAGTTGGACTCCGCCAAGGCTGCCCTTTGTCACCGATTCTGTTCATAACATTTCTCGGCGCAGCCAAGGTGTGGAGGGCATCTGTTTTGTTGGCCTGAGGATCAGGTCTCTGCTTTTTGCAGATGATGTGGTCCTGTTGGCTAAATCAGAACGTGATCTTCAGCTTTTGCTGGAGCGGTTCACAACCGAGTGTGAAGCAGCTGGGATGAGAACCAGCTCCTCTAAATCTGAGACCATGGTCTTGATTCGGAAAAGAGTAGAAGCGCCTCGTGATTTTGATCTTGAGAGGCGCTATAGAAATTATATTTTCTTTTTTTCTTCTTAGAATGCCTTCTCCGGGTCAGGGATGAGGTCCTGCCCCAAGTGGAGGAGTTTAAGTATCTCAGGGTCTTGTTTACAAGTGAGGGAAAACTGGAGCGTGAGATCAATAGGTGGATTGGTGCTGCATCTGCAGTGATGCGGGTGTTGTACCGGTCTGTCGTGGTGAAGAGAGAGCTGAGTCAGAAGGCGAAGCTCTCGATTTACCGGTCGATCTACGTTCCTACCCTCACCTACGGTCATGAGCTTTGGGTAGTGACCAAAAGAACGAGATCGCGGATACAAGCGGCCGAAATGAGTTTCCTCCGTAGGGTGGCCGGGCTCAGCCTTAGAGATAGGGTGAGGAGCTTGGACATTCGGGAGGGACTCGGAGTAGAACCGCTGCTCCTCCGGATCGAAAGGAGTCAGTTGAGGTGGTTTGGGCATCTGGTCAGGATGCCTCCTGGACACCTCCCTGGGGAGGTGTTTCGGGCATGTCCTGCCGGCAGGAGGCCCCCGGGTCGACCCAGGACACGTTGGAGAGGTTACATCTCCAATCTGGTCCGGGAACGCCTTGGGGTCCTGCCGGAGGAGCTGGTGGAGGTGGCCGGGGAGAGGACGGTCTGGAGCTCCCTAGTTGAGATGCTGCCCCCGCGACCCGGACCCGGATAAGCGGAGGAAGATGACGACGAAAATTAATTGGGTTGAGAAAGGCATTATTTTTGCTGCAGATTAATTAGATGATAACGGAAGCCTGTATAGCTACGAAAACTATTTGAAAGCTAAGGATTTTCCAGTGAAATACACAGAATTTGCCTCGGTCATGAGAGCCATTTCTTCAGTCATAGTTGAGTTAATGAGAGCAAACTCTGTTTATCAGAGATTTAGTTTGCAGATACCTTCTCTAAAAGTTGGGGGTATTGATTTATTAGACAAGAAATGTTCAAATCAACATATAAAGGAAGGTTTTATGTTGCTCTAATACGGTGACACCCAAAGGAAAATGTTTCTGGAACACACAGTTTGTTATAAATTGGAAAAAAGCATGCATGGTTCACTTTCGATACTGTAAACAAGACAAGGGAACTCAATTTCAAAATTTTACACAATATTTATCCATGTAATAAAAAAATTATCATTGTTCAAAGATCTGGATGAAAAATGTACCTTTTGTCATACTGGTTCAGACTATTATACACTTACCGTATTTTATAATTGTCCTCTCTCATCTGGATTTTGGAAAGATATGGAAAAATTTATTAAGATTAAGTCCAAACACACTATCCAAATCAGATCTAAGGATGTTATTGTCAATTTTGAATGTAATGATAAAATGTCAAGTTTTATAATTAATCTAATGCTTCTTTTAGGGAAATTTCATATACATAAAGCGAGGGTCTCCAAATCTCGCCCTAACTTTTGCATTTTCTTAAATGACTTCCACTCATATGTAAACACCATAAAGTTAATTGTAAATAAGAAGGCAGAACTCACTTTAATGAACCTTCAATGTTTATTTCTGATTGACCCTGTATAACAAAAACAAAAACAAAAAAACAAATAACGAAAAAAAAAACCAACAACGTGCCTTTTGGAAGGCTGTATTACCTGTTATGTGTCTCTTCTGTTAATGAGCTGATGCCTGTTTGTGTGTATATTTGATGTATGTTTGTTAGTTTGATTCTGTATTTGTGACAAAAACAAATAAAGCTTGTTAAATAAAAAATAAATAAAATAAAAAATTAATCGTCCTTGAGGTGGACTCGATACTCCCTGAACAACAGTGCCCTCTAGTGGTCACAGCGTTCTCTACAGGTGTGTGCATGCATTCAGGCATCTAACAAGGGAGGATTTCTTATAGTTTGGCAAGTTTTCCTCAATGAAATGTGGAATAATTAGAATTTCCTCAAATACTAATGTTCCAGGAATGTTTGAGCAGCTTGATTTCCAAACACACACGCAAATGAGTCTGAAATCAAATAAATCATTGAACATCTTTCTCATTAAAGGGCAAACATTGTCCTAAAATGTGTCATGCAAGTGAGCAGAACTTGCGAGAACTAATTTACCAACCAGGTAGCTCTTCAGACGGATGAACTCCACCCTCGTCTCCAGGTACCGGTTGGAGCTGCGACCAAGAATCTTAATGAACTCCACCAGATCTGAGCAGAACTTGTAGCCTCCCTTCAGGACGCACAGAACCACGATCTTACTGTCCTCAAAGTCGTCCATAACGTATCGGGCCAGGCGCTCAATCCTGGAGGAGGAATCAAAATCACACCAGGGATGGGATTTCCAAGAAATCAACCAGCTCATGCGGGCTCCTACCTGTCCATGATGATGCCATGAGGGATGTAAACGTTCTCAATGTCATGGTGGTAGTGTTCTGGGTAGGTGAACAGGTCCAGACTGTAGCCGGGCCAGTCGTCTTTAATCTGAAGGAAACAAAATACTAAGGGCAGAGCTCTGCAGGTCCTGCAGCAGCTGATGCTGTTTGGAAGCACATTGAACTTTTTAATAAAGCATTATTTTGTTGATTTTTTTTTAAAGCTTTGTTAAATTTTAGGTTTAATGAGATGTTGGTACTAAAATGTGTTCAACCAAACTGTGAGAACATCAGCGGGTACAGCGCTCTCAGAGAGCTGCTCAAATAATACAAAAAACATTTTTATATCTACAGAGAGGAAAAATAGGGGATTTTTAAAAATGTTCTTATGCATAAAAATCATTACAAAATCTAAATAAATAAACAAATAAATAAATCAGACTTTTTGTTTAACTTACCACAATTCCTCTTTTCATGTCTCCATCTTTCACTTGTGCTGACATGATGAAGACCGTCTGCACTGCAGGTTTATTCACCTTTAAGGGGATCACAGAAGCAGCTCTAGCCCAGTGAATTTATACTTTAAATGAAGAAAGTTAAGAACAAAAGTGGAGAAGGTACATATTCATCTGAAAAGAGCTGATTAATAAATCCTCTCGCTGTTGTGCTCCTGTAGCAGCAGCTGGCGAAGCAAAGAGGGAAAAAGGAGAAATGTCTAGGGAAGTCGTGTCCTTTCACGTGGGCCGTGCTATCACACTTGAGTCGTTTTGGTAAAAGAAAGGCTTTGTTTGGGTCAAGGAGACTTTAAATGGATAATCAGACGCATGTGATGCTACGCTGGCCGACCGGACGCAGACGGAGGGGGATGGAAATGAAACAAACTGCAGAAATTCGCTTCAGTTATGCCCAATTCACTCAGAAGCGTCATTCTAAAAGCTGCTCACTGAACTCATCACTGATCCAGAAGCTCCTCCACCTTCCTCGTTAATTCAGTTCCCCTTCAGAAACTTTTCAACAAGATTCGGAGCAACATATGCCATCCTTGATAAGGTTTTATTCATTTCCTCCAGATAATGTTGGCCATCTAAAACAATCCAGAGTTTAAAAAGGACGTTATTTCAAAATAAAACACCAACGTGTGGAATAATTATCAATTAAAGGAAATTAAATAGATGATATTAGAGTTTCCAACAGTCAGTGCTGTCTGAGACTAATCTTTGGGTTTGTAGATGATTGTGTACGTCTCAAAGTAGCTGATGTCCTTCTCCAGCTGACTCATCGCCTCTTCCAGCCTTTTCTTGTGGGCTTTCTTCGAGAAGGTGTCGATGATGAGAGGAAGGCACTGGTACTCACGATGAAAATGATCCCATCTCTTCTTCAGCCCCTGGAGGAGATACATGAAGAGGAAACAAGACATGATGGTTGGGTATGATCTCTCATGGCCACAGTTTAAGAGGTTTGGCTTGGTTTGAGCACCTTCAGTATGGACTGTCGCTCCTCTTCTGACAGGCGCTTCTTAGCTTCCTGCTCCTTCTGCTCCGCTATGAAGCGTTCATACTCCTCCTGAGTCTTAGTCTCTTCTTCTCTGCGCTTCTGCAGGTATGCAGGTACTTCGCCATAATCCTGCAGGGAAACCTTTGGTTTGCCTTGGATCTGACGCTAAATTTACCATTCAGTTTTGTGTTTTCGTTGTGGTAAATAATACCTGTTTCAAGACGTATTTGGGGACAAGTCCAGACTGTTCTAGGAGCTGCTTATCTCCTTTCCTACTGTCTACAGAAGCGGGCGTAGGCTTCACCGGCACTGCAACAGTTGTTTGTGAAAAATCCTTCTTGGTGTGAATCTCCATCGGTGGGATGTCCGTCCTTTTAGGTACTGGTGGCTTTCTCACAGTGCAAGTGCAAGTTCTGAGGCACTTTTTGGAGCACTCTGTCACTGAGGGATCGCAAAAAACATGTCAGGCATGACTAAAAGACCAATCTAAAAATGGTTCATTACAAGAACTCACCTTCAGGCAGTTTGGGCTCCTTTGAATGCTTCTTAAGGAACTTGTCTGGAGATGGCATTTCCACGTTCGCTGGTCCCATCGTCTTCATCGAATCTTTGGTTGCCTTGTTCTCAAGAATGACAGCTTGTCTGAACTTGGATACATACCTTTAGGAACATTTCAGAACATTAGAAAAAATAAGTTGGGTTAAAACAGAGTACATGTCATGATAATAAATGCAGTCAGGTTATAACCTGGAATGTATCTTTGACTACACTATTATGATTTTATAGAATACCTACTGGTGTTTATGACTTTGATTTTGTTTCGGTAAATTTATTTTACAGGTTAGAACAGCTTTACAATTTCTACGATGAACTTTTCCTGCCAGGCTACAGATTTCATTATTGTAACCGAATTACATAAATTAGGGGTTTGAATGCTAAACTATAAAACAATTTTTTATGTCATTGTGCTTTTCTTTATGTAAAATAAGTCATTTGTAGGGTGTTAATTTATTTATTTAGGCAGCAAAAAGTAATACAAAAGTAAAGACGTTTAAACTATTTAACACTTTGACGACCCAATGTAAGAATACTAACCTCGGCGCTTTTTGAACTTTGCTCTCTTCCTTTGACAAATGGTTGTAGACGCTTTCTGGTGGCTGTTGAGAGTCCGACATGTTGACAATTTAATAAAAGCACGATAGTAAAAAGGTTTAATTTGACACTGGAGTTCAGCAACCGAAAAAATGAACGACTGCCTTGTTGCTAGGTAACCGGTTCCTCCAAACGCGGCATTCCAGGACAGTTTGGAAATATTCAAACCGTGCTTGCACATCGCGTTGTCAAACAAACACTTAAAGTCTCTAAAACAATTAAAAGAGGCGGTTGATTGTGAACGTACTTCTAAGATAAGATGAAATAACTCTAATTCTGAAATTCGTCAAACTTCAGTCAGTCGATGCTTTGGAATGGAAAACACTAAATTCCGAGCTTCCTATTCGGTTTGGAATGCAACACCCTATTTTTCATGTGTTAAATTGTGTGTGTGTGTGTGTGTGTGTGTGTGTGTGGGGGGGGGGGTCGAAATTATGCGTTTTCGAACTCGCTCTTATGCTGTAACTTTACGTAACAGTACTTATTTATGATCCTAAAGATACATGCCAATTTATGCCGTCAAATATATTTTTACAAAAGTGATTTGCGAATTTGACAATTTTGTCCCAGTATGCTTGCTGTAGCAGTCATTGGAGGCATGCTAAAGCCGGAGCGAAAATAGAAATCGTTGTCACGTGAGTGCTTGTATTGTAGATACTTTATGCTAGCTAGCTAACCGTAAGTAAGCCAGACCTCCTTCGGTTTTTACGGGCGCAACTACAAGATAAATTACGGTGTCCTCGTTTGAGAGTGCCTTTAGTTTTAGCTAAACGTCTCCAATTACCAGTTTTGTTCATTTGTTATGATGGAAAGTATACCATTGTAACCGAGCCTTCCATAAAGACACGGTAGAAGATATAGGATTGTGGTTGCTCAAGAAAAGGTTGATAACCGTGAACTCTCAGGGTCGCTATATTTTAAATAACACCATTAACAACTCCGCTCCAACTTCTGTTGTTTTTCTCTTTTCAAACGTCACATCCTGTCAGCAGCACCTTCAAAATAAAAGTCCCATAAAAGTGGGTTACACCATCATAAACCATAAAAATGCCCACTGTACCTGGTCAGAAACTCCTGGTTTTTGCTTCTGAAATAAAGACGGAATTGTTTTGTTAGTAACAAAAGTTTATAGTTCCATAATGGGCCCAAATGTAAAATTTGATGTCACTGATTCTGGTGTGATCAAACTATGAGTCTAAAATCATAATATTTCAAGTATAGTGTTTCAACATGTTTTTATTATTTTTTTTCATAACGTGCAAATTTGTCGTCGTCGTCGTCTTCCTCCGCTTATCCGGGTCCGGGTCGCGGGGGCAGCATCCCAACTAGGGAGCTCCAGGCCGTCCTCTCCCCGGCCTTGTCCACCAGCTCCTCCGGCAGGACCCCAAGGCGTTCCCGGACCAGATTGGAGATGTAACTTCTCCAACGTGTCCTGGGTCGACCCGGGGGCCTTCTGCCGGCAGGACATGCCCGAAACACCTCCCCGGGGAGGCGTCCAGGAGGCATCCTGACCAGATGCCCAAACCACCTCAACTGGCTCCTTTCGATCCGGAGGAGCAGCGGTTCTACTCCGAGTCCCTCCCGAATGTCCGAGCTCCTCACCCTATCTCTAAGGCTGAGCCCGGCCACCCTACGGAGGAAACTCATTTCGGCCGCTTGTATCCGCGATCTCGTTCTTTCGGTCATTACCCAAAGCTCATGACCATAGGTGAGGATTGGGACGTAGATCGACCGGTAAATCGAGAGCCTGGCTTTCTGGCTCAGCTCCCTCTTCCCCACGACAGATCGGCTCAGCGTCCGCATCACTGCAGACGCCGAACCAATCCGCCTGTCGATCTCCCGATCCCTCCTACCCTCACTCGTGAACAAGACCCCGAGATACTTAAACTCCTCCACTTGAGGTAGGACCTCTCCCCCGACCCGGAGGTGGCAAGCCACCCTTTTCCGGTCGAGAACCATGGTCTCAGATTTGGAGGTGCTGATCCTCATCCCAGCCGCTTCACATTCGGCCGCGAACCTACCCAGCAAGAGCTGAAGGTCAGAGCTGGATGAAGCTAGGAGGACCACATCATCCGCAAAAAGCAGAGACGAGATTCTCCTGCCACCAAACTCGACACACTCCACACCACGGCTGCGTCTAGAAATTCTGTCCATAAAAGTGATGAACAGAACCGGTGACAAAGGGCAGCCCTGGCGGAGTCCAACCCTCACTGGGAACAGGTCCGACTTACTACCGGCTATGCGGACCAAACTCACGCTCCTCTTGTAAAGGGACTGAATGGCCCTTAACAGAAAGCCACCCACCCCATACTCCTGGAGCGTCCCCCACAGGGTGCCCCTGGGGACACGGTCATAAGCCTTCTCCAAATCCACAAAGCACATGTGGATTGGTTGGGCAAACTCCCATGCCCCCTCCATCACCCTTGCAAGGGTATAGAGCTGGTCCACAGTTCCACGGCCAGGACGAAAACCACATTGCTCCTCCTCTATCTGAGATTCAACTATCGATCGGACCCTCCTCTCCAGTACCTTGGCGTAGACCTTTCCAGGGAGGCTGAGGAGTGTGATCCCCCTATAGTTGGAACACACCCTCAGGTCACCCTTCTTAAAGATGGGGACCACCACCCCGGTCTGCCACTCCCTAGGAACTGCCCCCGATGACCACGCAATGTTGTAGAGACGTGTCAACCATGACAGCCCTACAACATCCATAGCCTTGAGATACCCAGGACGAACCTCATCCGCCCCCGGGGCTCCGCCGCTGTGTAGTTGTTTGACTACCTCAGCAACTTCTGCCCCCGAGATCGGACAGTCCATCCCCAGGCCTCCCAGCTCTGGTTCCTCCTCGGAATGCGCATTGGTGGGATTGAGGAGCTCCTCAAAGTATTCCTTCCACCGTCCGACTATAGCCTCAGTTGACGTCAGCAGCTCCCCATCCCCACTGTAAACAGTGTGAGCGAGTTGCTGCCTTCCTCTCCTGAGGCGCCGGACAGTTTGCCAGAACCTCTTTGGAGCCGATCGATAGTCTTTCTCCATGGCCTCACCAAACTCCTCCCACGCCCGAGATTTTGCCTCGGCAACTGCCACTGCTGCACCCCGCTTGGCTATCCGGTACCTGTCTGCTGCCTCCGGAGACCCACAGACCAGCCACGCCCTGTAGGCCTCCTTCTTCAGCCTGACGGCTCCCCGAACCTCTGGTGTCCACCAGCGGGTACGGGGGTTGCCACCACGACTGGCACCGGCCACCTTACGACCACAGCTAGCAACAGCCGCCTCGACAATCGCAGAGTGGAACAAGGCCCACTCGGACTCAATGTCCCCCACTGCTCTCGGGACGTGGTCAAAGCTCTGCCGGAGGTGGGAGTTGAAGACCGTCTTGACAGGTTCTTCTGCCAGGCGTTCCCAGCAGACCCTCACTATGCGTTTGGGTCTGCCAGGTCTACGCGGCATGTTCCCTTGCCATCTGATCCAACTCACCACCAGGTGGTGATCAGTTGACAGCTCCGCCCCTCTCTTCACTCGGGTGTCCAAAACATACGGCCGCAGGTCAGATGATACGACTACAAAATCTATCATCGACCTGTGACCTAGGCTGCCCTGGTACCAAGTGTACCGGTGGGCATCCTTATGTTCGAACATGGTGTTCGTTATGGCCAAACTGCGGCTTGCACAGAAGTCCAATAACAAAACACCGCTCGAGTTCTGATCAGGTGGGCCGTTCCTCCCAATCACACCCCTCCAGGTCAAGCTGTCATTGCCCACGTGAGCATTGAAGTCCCCCAGCAGGACAATGGAGTCCCCTGATGGAGCACTATCTAGCACTCGTCCCAGGGACTCCAAAAAGGGTGGGTACTCTGAACTGATATTTGGCCCATAAGCACAAACAACAGTCAGGACCCGTTCCCCGACCCGAAGGCGCAAGGAAGCTACCCTCTTGTCCCCCGGGGTAAACCCCAACACACAGGCAGAGAATCTCGGGGCTAACAAAAAGCCAACCCCAGCCCTCCGCCTCTCACCCGGAGCAACTCCAGCAAAGTAGAGTGTCCAACCCCTCTCCAGGTCTCGGGTTCCAGAGCCAATGCAATGTGTCGAGGTGAGTCCGACTATATCTAGCCGGTACCGCTCAACCTCTGCCACAAGCTCCGGCTCCTTCCCCACCAGTGAGGTGACGTTCCATGTCCCAAAAACTAGTTTTCTTGTCCGGGGATTGGACCGCCAAGGCTCCCGCCTTGGTCTGCCACCCGATTCACATTGCACCGGACCCTTCATGTTCCTCCTGCGGGTGGTGGGTCCACAGTTGGACGAGCCCATGTATCCGGTTCGGGCTGGGCCCGGCCGGGCCCCATGGGCGAAAGCCCGGCCACCAGGCGCTCGCTCACGGGCCCCAACCCCAGGCCTGGCTCCAGGGTGGGACCCCGGTAACCCTCCGGGCCGGGTACTCCGACTCTTCGTTTTCACCGCCATGAAAGATCCTTCGAACCGTTCTTTGTCTCACCCTTCACCTAAGACCAATTTGTCATGGGAGACCCTACCAGGGGCACTAAGTGCCCCAGACAACATAGCTCCTAGGATCATTAGGGCACTCAAACTCCTCCACCACGATAAGGTGACGGTTCAAGGATTTGTGCATTAATAAAATTAACTGATATGTTTCACTTACCCAGGGTCAACAGCTGCTTTCCTTTTCCTGAATGGCTTTACTACACGCAGGTCTGCTTGCACTAAGAGCTGCCAGATGCCACCTGTGTCCACTTTCAACATCAAAATCATGGCTTTCCACCAAAGCTAGCCCACTGGGGGACACAAACATCCTCCTCATGGGCCCGCCTGGAGCAGGAAAGACCACGGTTGCAAAGATAGTGGCTCATAAACTGGGAATTCCTGTCATTGACATTGACAACGACGTCTTGGAGACGACGTGGAAGATGCCCGTTGCAGCTAAACTAGCAACAGTAGGTGGACAGCGTTTTTTAGAGGAAGAAGGTCAGGCTTTGTGTGGCTTCTCAGCATCCGGGTGTGTTGTGTCACTGACGGGTTCTAACCCTCTCCACCCTGAGGCAATGCAGCATGTCACACAGAGCGGACTCGTCATTTACCTTGACGTGGACAGTGACGATATAATTCAGAGACTCGACAGGATGAAGGTGAACAGGATTGTGGGTCAAGCAGCAGGAGTGTCCATTAGAGACATTTTGCTTTACAGGAAGCAGTTTTATGAAAAGTGGCTTGACTTGCGGGTGTTTTGTGGAAGAGGAGACACGGTGGAGGAAGTGGTGGAGAAGGTGCTGCTGGCTGTGGAGCGATATCAGAAACGGGATGAGGAAACGTACGTGTCTACTAGGTGTGATGGCGCAGAGCTGGACGGACACAAAACATATTTCACTAATGTGGTGGTGGAAGGCCTGGCTGCTGATGGTGGCCTGTATGTTCCTAAAAAAGGCTTTCCCAAGATTAGTAAAAAGGAATGGCTCAGATTGGTTTCAATGACATATCCAGAGCGAGCTTTAGTTTTACTAGAAAAGTGCATCCACCCGTTGGACATCTCTGCTTCTGATCTCAGAACAATGATACTGAAAGCGTACGGGTCTAACTTTTCTAGTGAGAGAGTTGCGCCTGTCAAACATCTCATCCACAATCAGTATGTTCTGGAGCTTTTTCACGGCCCTACTGCCTCATTCAAGGACTTGGCCTTACAGTTAATGCCTCAAATCTTTGCTCACTGCCTCCCACCAATGTGCAACTTCCTCACACTGGTTGCCACGTCAGGAGACACCGGCAGTGCTGTGCTGAGCGGCTTCTGTCAACTTACTGGCGCCGATAGACACCGGACCGGCGTGTTGGTGTTTTTCCCAGAAGACGGAGTCAGTGAGATCCAGAAGCTGCAGATGATGAGCCACAAGGCAGGGAACGCCAAGGTAGTTGGGGTGCTGTCAGACTTTGATTTCTGTCAGAAGGCCATTAAGAGAATGTTTGGAGAATCGGGGCTAACCGGAAGTCTTGCTGTGGAGTACGGGACTGTCCTCAGCACCGCCAACTCCATCAACTGGGCTCGGCTATTACCACAGGTGGGTCGACTATTACCTATTCATGTTTAAAGAGCTCTGTCATTGCTGTAGACACGTAAAGCCTCACTGAGGGCAGAGCAGACGAGGATCAGACTGTATTTTTGCGTGAACTGCTTTTCATTTTTTAATAAAATGTTCAAATAATTAAAGAAAGTAAATAATCTAATTTAGACTGATCGTTTGACTAAATATTTATCATTTTAGTAATATTTTAAACAATATTAACAATTCTGATAAAATAGATGGGAATGAAATTCAAATAGTAAAAGAAACTAAATTTCTCGGAGTTCTTGTTGATGAAGACTTGACATGGAAATCCCGTATTAGTTACATAAAAGGTGAAACAGCCAAATCCTGAGGAGTATTACATAGAGTCAAGTTTTTACTGACTAATTCTGGTTTGTTGGTATTGTACAATTCACTGATTGTTCCATACTTGACTTATTGTGTAGAAATCTGGGGAGCAACATACAAAAACTATACACAACCCTTATTTATTTTACAGAAAAGAGCTCTGAGAATCATCAATTATAGTGGCTGTAGAGATCCATTGAACCCATTGTTTATTAAATATAAATTACTGAAATTTCATGATTTAAAAGGCTGGAAAATCTTACAAACCATGTATAAAGCCAATTTAGGTACTCTGCCAACAAACATTCAGGGGATATTTGAAAAGAGAACTAGTAATTACACGCTGAAAGAAACTGATGTGTTCACAAAACCCAGATTTAGAACTAAAATTAAGGAGTGGAATATATCTGTAAATGTGTTAAATTATGGAATAACCTTAAAAAGGAAATTTAAAAAACTCATTTAATATATTAAAAAAATGTACCAAATTGAGTGTACTAAATAATTATGAAAACGTTAATTAAATCAATGATCATGATTGCTCTGGAATTAAGAATGGGAAAAAGTTTTAAATGAATCTGTATGTGTGTCTGACAAATGGAAATTGTGTATTGTATTGTATATAAATAGATTATTTCGGTAACACTTTAGTTTAGGGAACACAAATTAACCATAATTAGCTTCCAATTAATATGCATATTAGTGGACTACTAAGTCTTAATTAGTCATTATGACGCTATTATTAGGTGCTTATTAGCAATGCTGTAATTCTAACATTAACAGGCCATAAATTAAGAATTTTATCTAAATAAGCCATTTATTATGATTTGTTAACTGTAAGTAAACGGTTTGTTGCTGATTAACGCACATACTAATTAGCTCATATTAATATGTGGCTTTTAAAGATGTAATTCAAGGGGAACCTATTATTGCCTTTATATGGTTAATTAATACTATACTAAAGGTAATTAGGTATGAACAAAATCTGACTTTAGAATAGGGAACGTAGTCTTGCTTGCGGGCTGCGCAGTGGCGCAGTGGTTAGAGCTGTAGCCTTGCAGCAAGAAGGTCCTGGGTTCGCTTCCCAGCCTGGGAGCTTTCTGCATGGAGTTTGCATGTTCTCCCTGTGCATGCGTGGGTTCTCTCTGGTACTCCGGCTTCCTCCCACAGTCCAAAAACATGACTGTTAGGTTAACTGGCCTGTCTAAATTGTGCCTAGGTGTGTGTGTGTGTGTGTGTGTGTGTGTGTGTATGTGTGTGTGTGTGTGATTGTTTCTCCTGTGTGTCTCTGTGTTGCCCTGTGATGGACTGGCTCTCTGTCCAGGGTGTACTCCGCCTGATTGCCCGTTGCCCGCTGGAGATAGGCACCAGCCCCCCCCCCCCCCCCCCCCCCCCCCCCCCCCCCCCCCCCCCGTGACCCCACATGGACAAGCAGGTTCAGAAAATGGATGGATGGATGGATTCTTGCTTACAAGTGGTTAATTGATTGTTGTTTAGGCTCTATTAACATGTGGAGTTTGGTGTTTGTTTAAATAATACCGGAACTTAATATTTTTGGTTATTAATGCAGAATAACTATTCCCCTTGAATTACTTCTTTAAAAGCCACATATTAATTTGGGCTAATTAATATGTGCGTTAATCAGCAACAAACCATTTATTTTCAGTTAAAAAACCATTATGAATGGCTTATTATGATAAAACTCTCAATTTATGGCCTGTTAATGTTAGAATTACAGCATTGGTAATAAGCACCTAATAATAGCATAATAATGACTAATTAAGACTTAGTAGTCCACTAATATGCATATTAATTGGCAGCTAATTTATGGTTAATTTATGTTCCCTAAAGTGTTGCCATTATTTCTTCTGGAAAAGGGGGCAGAAATTATAAGATGTTTTTCTTCATTCTGCTCCTTTTCGTTCAAATTTGATTTTTTGTTGTTATGTATATCTCTTTGTTTATGTTTTATTTGTTTTTATTTTGAATGAGATAAAGTGTTAAACCAACCAGAACCAAGTAGGAAGAGTTTTTGAAGACAACATATATGAAAATATGTTGGAAGTCACATTGAGTTAAAGGCTGAGTCATGCTTCTCCGTCTGCGTCCTTGCGTAGGGCCCCGGCAGGCACGCAAGTACGTACGAAGTCGAGCCCACTTTTTAAAATATTCCAACGAGACGGAGCACGCAAGGTTGTGATTGGTCAGGGCACTGCTGTCGTCTACACCGCCGCCATTGCGCCCTCAACAACATAAACAGAGCCGAGGATAACTAGCGGCAGACACGGAGAAGCTTGAAGAATACCTCGCGCATGAATCGGCCTTTGGGCAAAACTTTAAAAGCTAATCTATTGGATTTGGAGTCAGGCCAATAATTTAGTCTGAAAAGCAGCAGATTGGTCGCCTGGCCAGCTATCCTATGTTATGGGTGCGTTTCCACTGTCGCAACTTCAGGGTAAATTTACAGGAACTCCTGGTATGCACGTCTCCACCTGACCGGGCCGGCCGAACGACTGTATTCCGGGCCATTTTCAGGAACTTTCTGAGTACCTGATCAGGGGTAGGTGCTCGGAATACCCGGTGGAGTTGCTGAGCGAAACCTTTGGTTAACTCATGCTGATTGGTTGTAACTCAGAATCTATGGTTGTCTTTCACATGTCTTCCACATGCTATTGGACAACGAGCAACGTGACGTACTCACCGCCGTACACTGTCAAAAAGTAGCAAATGCATCCATTTTTCTAAATAAAGGACTTGAGTTCCTCCATCTGCTCTTGACTCTAAATTGTCCAAAGTTGATGCCAAAGCCGTTTCTAACACGGCACTGCCATTTTTGTAGTTTCACTCCGTTGCAGCGCTAGTACTAACTCTTCCCACCAAACCGATAGAGAATACCTCTGCAACCCCACAAATGTTTCTGTTCATTTCCATACATATTAACCCTCCCACTGTCTTTATGGGTGACCCCGTGAGGAAAGTTGACCATTGAGCAGGATTGATGGTTTATCCCTTGAGGTCCACGTGACAGGGATGAGGAGTGAGCACCACCTCACCCCTGCCACATGGACCCAAGGGATAAACCATCAACCCTGCTCAATGGTCAACTTTCCTTGCAGGGTCACACCCATTAGGACAGTGGGAGGGATAAATTGTGAGAAATATCAAATCAAATCAAATCGCTTTTATTGTCACGTCACATGTGCAGGTACACTGGTACAGTACATGTGAGTGAAATTCTTGTGTGCGAGCTTCACAGCAACAGTTGTGCAAAATACAATAACGTAAAAACAAGCAAAATATAAAAATGGCTAATCTAAGTAATAATATATATAGTATGTAAGGTATATACATTCCTAAATGTGTGTGCTAAGTATTTTATTTTTTATTTTTCTACGTGTGTGCATGTGAGTGTGTGTATAGTGCGTATATACATATTTAACCAATGAATAAAGTAAACAATAAAATAAGAGATATAAAATACACATATAAAATACAAAATATGTAATAACATCACTGAAAAACAAACTCATACGAATTGTGAGAAACCTATTAGTCTGCAGACGAAGCACACGTCGGTAGACAGCCCCGGTTTTAGTATCTGTGCGTTTAAATTCCCGCCTAGTTCTACAATTACTGCAAATGTCAGATCAGACTTATAGTATATTACAGTATCTACAGCCTGCCAGTACTGTCATCTTTATAAAGTCATGCTCAAATGAGATGTGATGTGGTGTCGGTTACATAAAAGTCTTAATGAGGTGTGATTTCATTTTCTCCTCTTGCAGGTCGTTTATCATGCCTCTGCCTATCTGGACCTGTGTAGAGATGGCGTGATCGGGTTCGGAGAGCCTGTTGACGTTTGTATTCCTGCAGGTAACTTCGGTAACTCCATGTCAGCTGTGTACGCCAAGCAAATGGGCGTCCCGATAAGAAGAGTCATCTCCGCGTCCAATCACAACCGGATCATCTCAGATTTTCTCACCACAGGCGAGTACGATCTGCGTGGACGGCCTCTGCTGCCGTCGCACTCGCCGGCGATAGATATCCTGAGGTCCTCCAACCTTGAGAGGTTTATCCACCATGTCTCCGACGGAAGCAACCGTCTCGTCAAAGAGCTTTTCACGTTCTTAGACACACAGAAGCATTTTCAGCTTCCTAAGCATCTCCTTGGCAGAATGCAACAGGAAGTGCAGGCTGGCTGGTGTTCTGAGGGGGACTGCTTGGCCGCCATTCATGACGTTTGCACACAGACAGGCTACCTCATGGATACACATACCGCCGTGGCTAAAGTCGTGGCCGATCGGCTGCTAGACGGCTCGTGCCCCATGGTGCTTTGTTCCACTGCTCATTACGGGAAGTTTGCTCCTGCGGTGTTCAAAGCTTTACAAATCCGAGATATTCCCCAGGATCCAGTGGAGCAACTGAAGAAGCTGGAAATCAGTGCATCCAGACCCGGAGTGCATGCAGAGATGGAGAAGTGCCTGAGGGATGGAGGCAGGAGGGGGCACTCAGTGTGCCAGGCAGATTACAGCGTGCTGGTGGAAGAGGTGGAGAGCATGATTCAGGACTCATTTCTCAAAGTTGTGTAAAATCATTCCTGCTTTTATAAACATTAGCCTTACACACATTAACTTCAGAGCTTATTTTAAATGTTTTGGTTTTGTTAATGAAGAATCATTGTGAGAAATGTAAGTGCTTATTGTTGAATAATTGCAGCTTTAATAAAACGTCAGGTGGTTTTATTCCTCATTTTGGTGGCTGTGAAGCTGTTTATTTACATTATATTGTGGAGTTGTTGGCCCACTAGATGGAGATATCCCTCTGGGCCTCAGTCAAGCGTGATAATTACAGTATATGAGTAATCCTGTAGAGCGAAGGTCAAATATACAACATAGTGTGAAGTAAAATCAATGTCCTAAGTTATGGAGGTAATTACCTCAGGTTAAGGTGTATGCTCAGGCAACGAGCTGCTCAGCGCAAGTTTTATTTTCTTCATTTCTCTGTAGGTCTGTCGTGTCCTCAACACACATCAACACTAATAGAGATTGACTGGAAAATCACTTTTTAATTTTAAAACAATATCGTTTTCCCGGCTGAGGCGAGGCAAGCTGAAGGGCTAAGAGTGTGACCTTCTCTGTGGTAATAAAATACCAGCTAATAACTTGGAAGATTAAAGCATAAAGGTCTCAGTTTTTATTGTTGAATGAGGGGTGGGGGTGTTTACGTGTAAAAATGTGTAAGATCTCATCTGATTTGTATGAAAACTCATTTGTAGAATACAGAGTACACAAAGCCGGCAGGATTTTCTTTAAAGAGCAAGTCACCCCCAAATAAACTTTTTTTTTTGCTGATAAACTAAATAAACGAGTGTCTAATCGTGCTGCAGACACGTGTCGTCAATAATTTGGCACTTCAGTGCATCTTAGTTAAAATTTAAATATTCTGCCTAAAACTGGCAGTGTTGTGCTGTTGTCAGGTAAAAACTCTGCACTGTGTTTTAATTTAAATCTGCCACCGCTATTGGCTAAGAAGTATGCTATGATGTAAACTGGTACATTATGATGTCACAATGCTGTCGTGAGCCTGAGTGTGTGTTTGTTAGCGGCTCCGCCCTCTCGGTCTGCCAGGCAACAGCATTTGTTGCATTTGTCAAACATAAAGTGGGAGTGGAGTTAGACTCTGGTAGGGGGTGACTTGCTCTTTAAAGACCCAATAAAACACAAATATTTCAGCCTAAGACGTAATCAGGAGACAGAAGTGGAAGGTTTTTGATCGGCTGGCTCGATCTTCCACGCTTGCACCTCAATTGCACGTTCCCATCCTGTGGTGCAAGTGCGATTCTCAAGTGTGGGCTTTGGCCCCACTGCTTTTGCACCCTTGATCCGCACTTTGGAAGGGTATTACCCACAATCCATTGCTGTGTGAGAATTTTGAGAAGGCGGAGAAATGGCTTAAGGGCCCTTTTTGAAACTATGTATTATAGTCGAATGTTTCTCTGTGGGAGAGATGCGTTACAAGTCTATAAACAAGTATCGGACAGTACCAGGATGCATTTTTAGACAGTTTGCAAGCAGTTTATTTACTTGTTTTAATATCGTTCAGTTTAAATGTCATTTGGAGCAGCAAATTAGCTCAAACAGCGACCAGCATCCTCTTTTAGGAAGTCGCAGAGTTACAACGCAGTGGCATAGGTCGATGATGCAATGCTCACCCTTCCATATCAGCTATTATTTGCACACTTGTTTACCCCCACTTTTACTCTTCCACGCACTTCTACCAAGTGCACTACTTAGAGGACGTTAGGCTGTACCATGGGTAATGGAACTGTACCGAAATCAACCCGTCTCGCCTCCATACTTCCTGGTTCCAGAGCCAATCACATTTGAGCCTGTAGGGTTGCCAAGTCTGTGCTGGCAAACACTGCTGCACTGCCATTTGTAATTCGAAAAGCAAAATGCAGCAGCATTGTGGACAGAATGTTATCCAGTAAAAGGAGTGCGGGGTGCCTCCAGAACATTTTGATAGGGACGGTGAGATGGGGCCAAACAGTTTTTTGGGGTGGCGCTCCAAATTGGCCCTTGTGGTAACTCTGGGAGAGTTTAGCCTGTGGCGATGTATTATATTGCTCCTTTATTCATTTTTATTTAAAAAAAACACTTTGTATCCAAAACATTTACCTTAAATTTTACAAACAAACACTTGAGAAAACTATATTTGTTATTTAAAATGTTATTTCAAATTTTATTTTAAAATGTATTTTTTAGTTTATTGTATTATTTTCTTTTTGTTTTACAATTATGTCTCAAATAAATAAGATCAATTTATGGTTTGAGTGAACATTAATATGATTTATTAACACTGGCTGTTGCTGGGGTAGCCAGCAATTTTGGGGGGCGCCATCGAAGGAGCCCTTTTTAGTTTTACGCTAACAACAGGGTGTGAATATGTGAATGACTGAATGTGTAAAGAGCCTTGGGGGGTTCTAGACTCTAGAAGGTGCTATATGAAACACAGGCCATCTAACATCGGGTAAAGAAGGCTAGAGGCTAACGTTGAGCTGTCAATGCTAACAGTGAATGAGAAGTCGGCTCTATGAATGTCTCAACCTGCTTTTTCAGTTACCAACATCTTGTTATTTCAGTGAAATATTTTTATCTACTCATCAACTTGCTGTACACGACTTCGTTATCTGTCTTGTTAATCTTTACGCACCTTTAAAGAATAATTCGCCACAATATTGAGTCACAAAATCATTATAGTCATTTTTTATTGGTGCTTCAGTTAATCATTTTATGAAACCCGTAAAAATGTTGATGACTCAACGTTTTCCGGAGCACCAAATTTCAACAAAACACAATGTGTACAGGCTTGGAATTTTTAGGAAATAAAAAGATAAGCTGTACTCTCGCTGATCCTTTACGGGACTTTTATTGATTATTGACTTTATTATGTCATTTTCTTTAAAGCTTACTTGGAAAAACATTCATGAATCATCCATTCATTCAGGGTTGTCTACAGAATTTGGCACGAGAAACCTTTCTCTGCAGACGGTATTGGTGCTGTCCAATCAGAGCACAGCAAAGCGCGCTTTTATTTCTTTAACAACAAATGTTTAAACAAACGACGCGTCTTTTCATGGGACCAATGAAATATTTTAGAGTTTTCCTAGAAAGCAATCCTGTTGATAGTGTCTTTTGCACGTACGCAGGTGTGACATCTAACCTTACTTCCAAGGGAGCACCAGAAAGTGTCTGCTCAGGCCAAATAATTGCCATTGCAGGGAGTAAATGAAGTTATTACCTTATTAAAGTCAGATTTTTAGCTCTTTTTGCAAGAAAAGTAATTCCAGTTATTTTTTCCCCACTATTTAAAAAAAGTTTTTCCATCTACTCACACATAAATGTCAACTTTTCATTTTCCGTCTGAGAAAAGGGCGCAGCAGAACAAGATCGATGTGAAATTATTCAGGCTGTGTGGTAGCCACTTCATATGAAGTTCAGTTTTCTGATGGTAATTTTGCATCTCCAGCACCACACCATCTAAAACTAAATGAATCCTGTCTAAGTGGGTCCAGTCGTTAAAACGCAAGTGCTGCCTCAGCAGTCGTTGGAAGTCGAGGGAGGAAAATTCTTGGGAATTCAGCTCCAGAAGCTGGTCATCGCTGTCACCTTCCCCTGGATGCCCATTTTCTCCAGAATAGTCTTGACAAACATGTAAGAAATAAAACAGGAAGAGAAAAGAGGACAACGGGTTATTCCTTTCATGTTTTCGCAGCAAAAAAACTAAACTTAAAATACGAGATGTCAGATTACTGAGCAGAAATCTCTGTTGTGTAATAAGTGGAGAACAAAGGGAAGTGTGGCGGTTCGGCGAGACCGACAACCAGATGGTCCAACAGTTGGTTGCAGTCCGAAACGTTTTATTGGCGGAGGTATTCAGACAAATTCAAGAAAACCACTTTTTTCTTTTTCGTCATCTCCACAATATCTTTATAGCTCTACTAAATGATAAATGACCCACACTTGTATAGCGCCTCTCAGATTAAGGACTCCAAAGCGCTTTACACTACAGTGTATCATTCATCCATTCACACAGACATTCATACACAGGTGGGGATGAGCTACGATGTAGCCACAGCTGCCCTGGGGCGCACTGACCGAGGCGAGGCTGCCGAGCACTGGCTACTACGTTAGAACTTTGTCAATGAAAAATGTTTGGAGCAATTTAGTTTTCCATTGCAGCTTTAAACACCATGTTGGCTACTGACAGTGATTGTAATAACAATGTAACACACTGGGTAGGTATTTATTATGGGCTACGGAAAATATTGACCCCAGTAACATTTTTCACACTTTATTATATGGCAGCCATTTTCTAAAATCAGTTAAATTAATTTTTCCTCCATGCCACAGCCGCCAAATACTTTGCTCCAGTGATCATGTGGTCCATCTCCGCCCTAAGCTTAATAAAGTCCGTGGTTTTCTCTTATGTCCCTAAAATACAAACTTCTGTTAAAATCAGGGGGAAAAGGTAGCGGGAGAAGTACGACACCGAGCGGCCGAATATACGAGCCGAGACCGCAATACAAGCACTTTAACTGTAACATTTCAAACTAAAATAACGTTCCTGTATCACAAAAAGCCCTTAACCTAACAGTTGTCAAGTTTATACTGACATTTATATGCGCAATCCTCTCCGACAGCTCCCGCTTCACTGTCCGCCATTGTTTTTAAAGGTTCTGCCATCCGGCCCGCAAGGCATCTTGGGAAATGTAACCATTGAAGGATACACCGGACCCATCCTTCATACAGGCGAAAAGAAGACCGGCTTCGTCGACCGCATTTGAAGGAGTCTTCGAATTGGGACAGGCCTAGTCGCGGCGCTGTGACGTAACCGGACGACGAATCCGTCCGACGTAGGATGCAGACCCTGAATTGAGACACAGCCAACGTCTTTGTGAGCCTTTGTGTGTATTTGTTAGCGGCTCCGTCCTCTCGGTCTGCTTGGCTACAGCATTTGTTGCATTTTCAAACAGGAAGTGGGAGTTAAGTAAGAATCTGGTAGGGGGTGACTTGCTCTTTAAATCACATAAATCTTCTATTAGCAATATTAACATGAATATTTGCGCTTCTTCAAACTGTTTTGGTTCCAGACATTATTCTTGCCATCCGATTTAGTGCCTCAGTGACATTGTGACTCCTCTGGCTGCCCCTGGGTGTACTCACGCCTCCATACTTGTACAATGACCCACCACTTGTTACTGTGCATGAATACATTACACAGTACACGGTCATGTACTGTTGGCTCCCTTCAACCTGCTCTCAGCACTAGTTTCCCCCTTCCTTTCCTCTCTAGATGCTGTGAATATTGGTCTTGTTAATCAAGCTGCTTGGCAGGTGAATGTGTGGTGCTTAGGTTAGAAGAAGAGGAGGGTGAGCAGGTGCATGGATGTGTGTGTGTGTGTGTGTGTACGTGTGTGTGTACGTGTGTGTGTACGTGTGTGTGTGGGCGGTGTGGGTAAAGAGGGAACCAGCTGTTGCACAGCACCTAGTGACCCACGGCTGGTTGAGCAGGGATAATTGCAGGTACCAGCCTTTCCCCATCTTCTTAATGTGAACTTGTGGCATGATGGAACCTGCTCTTTCAGAGAGGAGGGAAGTAGAAGAGAGAGAGGAGGAAGTTAATGCACCCAAGGTGCTTTGACGGGAGATCCGGAGCCGACTGATTTGTTTTTGCCCTTTAAAATTCTAAAACTAAATGTTTTTCCTCCTGCTGAAGCCCACCATCAAGGTTATTTTGCCCTCGAGGGGACAATGATGAGGTACAGTAGCTTCCATTTATCAAAGGTTTAAACAAATGTGTAATAGGATGATTCATGAGTAATTTCTCTTTGAGCCAGAACCCCACATTGTGGGTTAAGAAACATCAACTAAGGGACTTGACGTTAATAATCTAATTACATTTAAAAGTCATTTGTAATTACATAGTTTTCACCAACAATATTACAATAAACAGCCCTTTGGCTTGGTGGTCACTCCAGCTCTTATTCACAAACTATTTTCTTCATGGTTGTCTTAAAGATGCTACAGCAAATCTACAGAACAAGCTAGGCTTTGAAAACAAAGACTCACTCTTCCCCTCAGGTATCTTCTGCCGGAACTGAATGCCAGCGTTGCCAGAAGAAACGAGAAGGTGCTTAACACCCGTGGCCCTTTTCTAGGTTCAAACATCTTTCGTTGGGACTTTGGTAGTTTGCCCTAAAATTGAAGTGGTAGCAGCCAGCTCCTTCTCTGATATTACTGAGCAGAAATCTCTGTTGTGTAATAAGTGGAGAACAAAGGGAAGTGTGGCGGTTCGGCGAGACCGACAACCAGATGGTCCAACAGTTGGTTGCAGTCTGAAACGTTTTATTGGCGGAGGTATTCAGACAAATTCAAGAAAACCACTTTATTCTTTTTCGTCATCTCCACAGTATCTTTATAGCTCTACTATGTTAGAACTTTGTCAATGAAAAATGTTTGGAGCAATTTAGTTTTCCCTTGCAGCTTTAAACACCATACTGGCTACGGACAGTGACTGTAATAACAATGTAACACACTGGGTAGGTATTTATTATGGCCTATGGAAAATATTGACCTCAGTAACATTTTTCACACTTTGTTATGTTGCAGCCATTTTCTAAAATCAGTTAAATTAATTTTTCCTCATTAATGTACACACAGCACCCCGTATTGACAGAATACACAAATTTTTAGAAATTTCTGCAGATTTCTTTTAAAAAACAAAGTGAAAAATCACATGGTCTTGAGTATTCAGACCCTTTACTGTGACGCTCATATGTTAAATTTAGAAACCGAGAAATAAGATCATCAGGTCAGAGACCAAGATAGAACATTTTGCTTTAACTCTAAGCAGTTTGTGTGAAGTAAACCAGGCACTGTTCATCTCTGAAGTTAATTAGATAAAATGACGTGTTAAAAATTTTCACTGCGGAACCTTTGTCAATGCATGATTTCCTGGTAGACCGAATATCACTGACGCACACAACAATGCAGTGCTCCGCTAACTGCTACTAAAATGGAATAATTAGTAGGAATTGGCTTGCTTGGACTGCTGCAGTAATTGGGAAAAATAACTTGTTAAATAAAAACAAACGTCCTGAAAACCCAGGAGTTCATGACAGACATTTTTCAGACATCATCTCTGATCTCTGCTGCTGCTGCTGGGCGGTACAGAGAGCTTTACAAAAGTCGAGGTAAGCTAACTCTTTTACATTTATGCAACATTAATTCCTCTTCATGACCTTTTATCTTCCTGTCATCCTCCAGTCATCCAACTGGAACCAGTTGGTGTTCCTGACCATCTCTTTAGTCCCGCTGTAACACTCTGGTGTTAAAAGTTACAAGTCCTCGATCATATTTGTGCCTGTTCTTGTCTCATTTATAAGGATTTTTATTTCTAGATATGCTTTTACTACATTATGAGACATAGAAATGCTAAATAAAACACCCAATTATACAAACAAGTGAAACTGAAAACATTTGAATATGGAGCAAAAGTCCGTTTATCTCAGTAATTCAACACAGAGAATATTTAAAGGGCCAGGAACCAGCTTCAGGTGTTTTCTATTTGCAATAATTAAAGGTGTAGCAATCGAACCGCCCTCTCAACGTTCTTTAAAATGCGCATGCGCACCCCTCTACCAGTCCGTGGCGCGTGCTCGTTTACGCTCCGTTTCCAAGCAACTGCCGGCTTTGCATCACCAGTTGACTCTAGCAAATTCTTTTTTCCCCACAATGTCGGATTTTCCACCAGTGAGTTATATTCCATGTAGCATTACGAGCACCTTCATAGCTAACTATGTTGAGTTGTGACTTGTTTCATATCACAAAGTGGCATTTGGAAAAAAAAATGCATTTTTTGAAATGAAATGAAAAGAGCTTGCGTTTCCAGTAATAATATCCATGTCTAGTGTTTGATTCTCTGCCTCATTATTTTTAATTTAAAAAATTGCTTTGAGCGCACATTTGCCCGAATGATAAAAATGCGATTATTTAGAATATTTAATTACAAAACTTTTTATTAATTAGACTAAATTTTTTTTACTCCACTCCCAACCCTAGTAAAATAATGTGTATTTGTACACACGCATGTATGTGCGTTTATATTGTCACAATGATGAAGTCATCAAATGGTCAAAATTTGTATTTTGATGTATTCTGCATGCCGAGCAGTTATTAGTTGGTTTGGTTGTTGTTGTTATCATGAAGCTCCTGAACTCAAAGGACATAAAGGAAGTTCTAGAATGCTCTTTGTGACATCATCATCATCATCATCTTCCTCCCTTTAATCTCTATGTGCACGTAGTAGTGCTCATCTCACCAGTTCTACAGATCACACCTGCAGATCGCATCGCTAGACGCACCGCTGTGAGCACTTACCCTGTTAGAGCACGTTTTTGTTTTGACCTACTAAATCAGAACAATGAAACTGTTCCAAATAGCAAGAAGAACGAGAGATATGGGTCTTCAAGACCAAACTGGCACTGAGTCTCTGAGCCAAGAGAATGCTAGCCTTCGACAAGACAACGAAGAGCTCCGTAAAATTGTGGAAGACCTTCGTCAAACTATAGAAACGTTTGGAAATAGGAAGTCTAAACAGATCCAAAAAGAAAAAGTGGAGCTTTTAGAAGAAAATCACCTTCTATGTAAAAAAATCACTTCACTGCAAGAGGAAAATCAGAAATTGAATCAACAGGTTCTCACTTTTAAGGAAAAATTCAACAACCAACTGGAACATCTGAAAAAACAACACGAAGTCATGGAAGAACAAAGTCTGAAACTCCAGAACGTTAAAGTGGACTTTGAGAAGGAAAGGGAAGACAGTAAGTTACTTCGTGACCAAGTTGGCGATCTGAAGAGAAAACTTGCCTTTAGCAACAACAAGTTAAATCAGAAAACTGAGAAAGTTAGAGAACTAGAGGAGAAATTAGAAGGACAGACGCTGGAGCTCCAAGCTACACGTTTTCTACTCGACGGTTCTGAATATGAGTGCAGGTTCCTGCGCGATGTAAACACCTCCCTCTCTGAAAAAAACAAAGAATTGGAAGAGAAACTCAAGCACACTACCTTGGACCTAGAGAAGAGTCAAGAGAACGTGGAAGTTCAGAAAATGGCTTTGGATCAAAGCGTTTTGGACTACCATGATGCCTGTGAGAAAATTAGCAGCCTTGAATGCCAAACTGAGAAGTTTATAGAAGTTGCTAGCGCTCTGATGGAGGATAGCGAACTTTTGGAGGAGAATGTTGAGCAATTAACAGAGAAACTTACAACAAACCAGGTCCTAAATCAAGTCCTTCACGAACAAGTCCTGTATCTAAAAGCTAAACACACAGAATCTGAAAAGTTAGTCCAGGCACAGGAGTGTTTGTCTCAGTCAGAGAACCAAGAGAAGAAAGACTTAAATGTGAAACCCAAGCGTCAGGAGAAGAAACATTTCCAAACCCTTAAAAAGAAATGTAGCTCTCTCATTAAGAAGTCTGTATAAGCTAAGACACCGGGTGTGGACGAGCTGCCAGAAGCACGTGGGGATGGGTGGTAACGCAAAACCTGTTGGGGTCACACATGCAGTCAGGTGTGGGGTGACGTGTGACGGAAAGAGCAACGTCTGCATTGTGTGTGGAGGTGTTTCTATCTAGGATCTACTCCGTCCACCATGGAGTATAAAAAAAATGCAGCAGAAGGATTATCTCTCAGGAAAAAGATCACCCGATCAATTTTTTTCTGTCTCTTTGTGCTGCATGGGGGGTTTTCTCTGGGTGCTCCAGTTCACCCCCCACCCAAATTTCTAAATCCCTGACACGTTATACCCCGATTGATCTGCTCAGCTCTTCAGTAATCAGCTTTTAAACTGCATTTGTGCCAGAAAGCTCATTTATCTAGTTATTCTACTGACAGAATTACACCACACATTAATAAGTAGGCCCATAACTTGAAAAAAAGGTAACAGAACTGAACAAGCATCATACACCCTTTTGGGGGAGCCAGGCTCCCCAGTAAATCGAGCCCTGCTCATGAGAAAATTAGCTGCCTGGAGAAAATGAGATCTTACAGCAGAGAGAAGAGCATCAAGAATTTCTCCAGTCAGAGGAGTGTTTGTCTCCCACAGAGAACCAAGAGGAAATAGGTGGAGACTTAAATCTGAAATCAAAGCATCAGAACATTTTCAAAGGACTTACCAAAGTGTAGGTAATGTATCTCATTAAGTAGTCTAAAAAACAAAGACGTTAGATGTGTTGGTGAACCAGCAGTACCGATTTGAACATCTTTGGTGTGTTCTTGCTGTGTTTAGTTTCAAATTCCATCTTTCAGTTCTTTTTAAAACACAGAAAAGGTTAAATTACCTGCGACGTTTCGTTTGCGGCTGCAAACATCATCAGGCTGACGCCGATGGTTGTGTCACTTCCTTCGTTTATCCGCGGGCAGCAGAGGACGTTGTCGCCCTCTGCTGCCCGCTCTCCCCTCCCTCCCCATGTGGGACCATGAACAGGGACGATGGAGTTTACTCGTTGGATCACACATGGGACTGCATCATTGGAGAGGGGAGAGCGGGCAGCAGAGGGCGACAACGTCCGCAGTGAACTCCTTCAAACAGCAGCTGAAGACTCACTTGTTCAAGCTGGCTTTTGTATGACCTTCTTCACCTCTCTCTCTTTATTCTGCTCTCCCCACCTATTCCACCTTCCTCAGGATCCACTGATTTTCCTCTTTCCTATTCACTCTCTCTCTTTCCTAACATTTTTTCTTTTAAATCGCAATTGCTTATTTTTGCTCATTTTAAATATATTTTTAAACATTTTCTTAATGCTTTTTTATATTTTTACATTTTTTTTATTTTGTCTTTGTGAAGCGCCTCGTGATTTTTATCTTGAGAGGCGCTATAGAAATGATATTTTCTTCTTCTTCTTCTTCTCTGCTGCCCGCGGATAAACGAAGGAAGTTACGCCACCATCGGCGTCAGCCTGATGATGTTTGCAGCCGCAAATGAAACGTTGCAGGTAATTAAACCTTTTCTGTGTTTTAAAAAGAACTGAAAGATGGAGTACTGATTTGGTTCTTGTATTCCAGCCCCAAGTAGTTTGAAGGCTGTAAGTGTACAATGTCAGATTTGGCGTGTCTGCATGGCAAAAAAATCTGCAGAACAAGGGTTATCTCAGAATAATGTTCACCCGATCAATTTATTTCTGTATATCCAACCAAATTCCTGACATGTCGGCTTTTCAGCAGTGGCACCCCCAGATAGTTTTCACAAGGGCTGCCATATGGCGCTAGGGAAAATTTTGGGTGTGGCACACCAGATTGGTCTGTGTGGTATATCTAGGAGAGAACATTAATAGAATTTACTAAAGAACATTGGTCTCTGGTGTGGCCAATTGGGCGCCAGTGCTTTTCAACACACCGCGTCCACGTCCAGCGGTGGTCCCAGGGGTGGCACTGTGTCCACGTCCAGCGGGGTTCCTACTTTCGCCTTTCCAAGAGGCTCCGCCTGTCCAGGTCCAACGGTGGTCCCAGGGGTTGCACCGTATCCACGTCCAGCAGTGGTCCCAGGGGGCGCATCGCGTCCACGTCCAGCGGTGGTCCCAGGGGGTGCATCGCATCCACGTCCAGCGGTGGTCCCAGGGGGCGCATCGCCTCCACGTCCAGCGGTGGTCCCAGAGGGCGCATCGCATCCACCTCCAGCGGTGGTCCCAGGGGGCACATCGCATCCACCTCTAGCGGTGGTCCCAGGGGGCACATCGCATCCACGTCCAGCGGTGGTCCCAGGGGGCACATCGCATCCACCTCCAGCGGTGGTCCCAGGGGGCACATCGCATCCACCTCTAGCGGTGGTCCCAGGGGGCACATCGCATCCACCTCTAGCGGTGGTCCCAGGGGGCACATCGCATCCACGTCCAGCGGTGGTCCCAGGGGGCACATCGCATCCACCTCCAGCGGTGGTCCCAGGGGGCACATCGCATCCACGTCCAGCAGTGGTCCCAGGGGGCGCATCGCCTCCACGTCCAGCAGTGGTCCCAGAGGCCACACCACATCCACGTCCAGCAGAGATTCCACCTTCGTCTTTTCAAGAGACTCCGCCTGTCCAGGTCCAGCGGTAGTTCCCAGGGTTGCACCACATCCATGTCCAGCGGTGGTCCCAGGGGCCACACCACATCCATGTCCAGCGGTGGTCCCAGGGGCCACACCACATCCACGTCCAGCGGTGGTCTCAGAGGGCGCATCGCATCCACGTCCAGTGGTGGTCCCAGGGGGCGCATCGCATCCACGTCCAGCGGTGGTCCCAGAGACCACACCACATCCACGTCCAGCAGAGATTCCACCTTCGTCTTTCCAAGAGACTCCGCCTGCCCAGGTCCAGCGGTAGTTCCCGAGGTCGCACCGCATCCATGTCCAGCGGTGGTCCCAGGGGCCGCACCACATCCATGTCCAGCGGGGGTTCCACCTTGTATGTCCGGGAGGCTCCGTCTGTCCAGGTCAAGCAGTGGTCCCAGGGGTCGCACCGCATCCTCGTCCAGCGGTGGTCCCAGCGGTCGCACCGCATCCTCGTCCGACGGTGGTCCCGGAGGTCGCGCCACATCCTCGTCCAGCGGTGGTCCCGGAGGTTGCGCCGCATCTACGTTCAGTGGTGGTTCCAGAGGTCGCTCTGCATCTTGGGTCCAAACCTCCTGCTAGTCATCGTGACAGAATGGACCGACCACACCTGTACCCTGCAGAAACCTGGACTCCACCAAGAACACTCCACTACAGGTACTGTGGAGACCCAGAGACTTGCCGTACCTACATCGAAGCCTGCGCTCGTTACATGGACCTGGCTTCCTCGGAGCATGAAAAAGTCTCCTTCATGGTGTCTAATTTGGGTGGTAGCGCCCTGGTGTGGGCCCTTGACTATCTTGCTATATGTCCATCCAGATCGGTGTCCTTCTCGGACTTTGCCAGGCGTCTGCAGGAGACCTTTGGCCCTGGTTCATCTCCTGTGCATGCCTCCGACTCCACACCCCCGGGACACCAAGTCACCTCTTCCATATCTACTCTGTCGGCTCCCAGTCATCATTACCCTTCTGCTACCATCAGATCCGGTTTCCTCTCCTCTTCCCCTGTTAAAAATTTCTGTTTGTCCTTTTAAATAAATGTGCAGGAATTTCTAAAATTCTGTGTTTTTATGTCAATATAGGATGCAAAATGTAAAATTATTAAAAATTAATTTAATTGATTTTAGCTGCAATATAACAGAGTGAAACATCGATGTGGGTCTGAATATTTTCTGTACCCACTGTATTTATTTATCTGGGTGTTTACAATGTGAGTGCACTACTTATGTGATTATTAAAAGTTGTTATAGTTGACTGTGGATTTATAATAATATAACAATATGATTAGTGAATATATATTCACTTTATAAGCTTTTCCCCACATTATCAGTAATTTATCTCATAGTGAAGATTTTCCTTCTCCATGATCAAGTGTAGAATGATTAGGGAGCAAATCTTAAGGCTTCTTAGGCCCTGTCCACACGTGGACCGGGCCAGGATCTGCCAAAACGTAGATATGTTTCTACGTTTTGGCCTGTCATCCACACGAAAACGGAGTTTTTTAACACAAAAACGGATCTTTTTAAAAACTCCGGCCAAAGTGAAGATCTGCGTTTTCTCCGTTTTGGGTGTCTGCGTGTGGACGGACAAAACCGGAGTTTTAAGCTCCGCAACGTCACTTTCCGCGACCAAAAATGCTGACATCACGTGTGCGACCTGTGTTTACACTAGCCGACAGCATGGATGCCCTCAGAGCTGCGCTCGCTTTATCAATTGTCCAAGCGCTTTTTGCTTGTTTGTTTTTGCGAGCGGAATTACTGCTCCTTGCGGAAGACCACAGACGAAGGACGAGGTTAAGAACGGGGGAAGTACTGCCTCCTACAGGTCTGGCATGTCCTTAACAACGTATTTATCCGGGTACGTGTGGACAGAGTTTTTTTTAAAACGAGGTGGTGTGGATGCAAGTTTTTGGAGGGGCGGATATCCGTTTTCAAAAAACCTGGCCACGTGTGGACTAGGCCTTAGTTAATTATCAGACCCTGATAATTATAAGATAAGATTATAACTGAAAATGTTTTCATGTCCCTCCGACCACCACCAGCAGGCAAGGTGGGTCGAGTGTCTTGCCCAAGGACACAACGACAGCGACCGACTGAGTGGGGCTTGAACCTGCAACCTTCCGATTACGGGGCGAGCACTTAACTCTTTCGCCACCGTCTGATCTCCTCTCTGAAGAGTAAATATGTGTTTTGGGGCTAAAATGTTTTATCCCCGATGATGCTGCAGTTGTTTGTGTGACAAACCCAGGCGATGTCGGAAGGATCTTGTTTGCACACTCATAGGGATAGTTGGGTAGAATAGTCATTGATGGTTAATGTGTAATCTGCAGTAGAAATGACTGATTAGTCCAGATTATAAGGAAGCCGATAGCTGGTCCTAGCAATGCCAATCTAAACGCTCTAATAAATGTTTGCACCATTGTTTATTAGATGATTATTTATCTATAGTTAATTACCTCCAGGCCAGTTTTACTGCAGATAGGGGCCATGTCAAGCTTATTATGCAAATCAGGACATGTTAATAAGGTTTTGGTTGGTTTGAATTGTTTCTATGTGACACAATTATGAATAAATAGTATTTTATACCTAATGAATACCTTCTTGAATGGCTGTAGCGTGGAAAAATTAACAGAGTTAATGTTCCACATGACTGATGAGCTAACGGAGAATTCAGATATTTCTAGGTCAAGGTAAACTTTATTATCCTGCCAGGGGAATTCAGGTGGCCTGTTGCTGCACAGGTAATAAAAGCATAGTAATAACACAGACAGTTGTTTTACAGTGAGGGTGTAAATATTACAACGTATATCAGAGCAAAGTCAATGGCATCAATAACTACAATAAAAAGGTTAGAGAGGACAGGAGGTATCCAAGCGAGGTTAGGGTTAGGAGCAGTGAGGTGCATTAAGAGCATGCTGCTCCAATAAACAAAGCAGTTTATGCTAAAATATGATCTATACTTGCACATCAGTTATTTTGGTTTATCAAAATTAAAATGTGAAGTAAATAATTTAGAGCTATAACAGTTTTTCATACATCTCTGGGCCTACTGAGGGCTCAGGCTTGTGTCATTTAAAACGGCAGTTTGACCACGCAGAATCCTGAAAGTAAAAATCTGCACTTTACAGCGTTATAGTTAACGGTTAACCATGCGAGGTCCTCCGTTTGCTCCAGTCGGAAGCCTCCTGCAGAGTTCTGCATCAACTGGAGGCAATCGGGGGCTTTGTTGGTGAAACACGTGAAAAGTTTCTTTTAAATAATCCAGTTTCTCAATTAAGGAAAATGGTTGTTTTGAACAAACTTCAAGAAACTTTTACCGATCAAAAACACCTAAATTCCTCAGGTTGGGCTGACGGCTGAATTTAACGACCAGTTTGTTGCCTGGTGAGAGAATCCATATTCGTCGCAGCAATAATCAGACACTCAGTCTTTTATCTGAAGGAAGTCGCTTTGTTTGAGCGTCTTGACGGCAGGAAAATAAAGGGTTAAGTCATCTTAAATACTGCGTATAAAACATCCAGCAGCTCATCATAACCCAGTTTGACCAAACTGAGCTTGTCAGCAGCAACAAAGTAATCCAGACAAGTTGTGTAAATGGTCGTTGTCTAAATTTTCCCATAAATCCTAATTCCAAGAATCCCTGGATTATACCGTGAAGGAGACGCACGTAAAACGGTTTTACTGCTGCAGCCCTTTCCGACCGGGTGACCTTTAATCACAGATTTAGGGACTGTGCGGGTTTTCGCAACGCTTTACGACCATATTTTCATGTCAGAATCGACTCACTGCCATCATCAGGACCTTTAAAAACTTCAAAGGTTAAAAGATCACGCAAAAAGACGTCTTCGTGTGTTTGCTTAATGAAGGCGCACCTGGAAGCAGCTTCATCGTAAAGCAATGAAGGGGAATGAGGTGTTTTACGACGTGCCATAACAAAGTCGCTTTTGTCTTAGATTTCTTGTTGCCTATCTTCTCTCTAATCCTTTTAATGGATCTGCTTATCGTTTTTACGGTAAGAGGCGTCATTAACGGAATTATTCTTCCTGGTGAGGCTAATAATCAAGTTTTCTTCAGACTGCTTTGGTGTAATAAATTCTTAGACGTATTATAAGTGATGTATTGTCCGTGCAACCGCCTTTATAAGGAGGCGACGCCTTCCTGTCTGTGCCAAATTCCCGTCCGGACTGAAGATGGGCTGCAGACGAACAGACTGCTTCTCAAGGCCTCTGTCGAACCTGTTTGAAAAGCTGGGCTCAACAGTAGGCTCCTGTCCTTTATTCTTTTTTGTTATTCCTATCATGGTCTCGGCAGTGCTCGGGGGAGGCTTCTTTTT